CCTTTCGATTTTTATAAATTTTAGATTTTACGTTTCCGAGTTACAGAGTTTTATTCATAAAAAAAGGGGGGATTTTCCAGTTTTCAGACAAAAACTCAAAAATGCTTTCAGCAATTCTTATGAAACTTTGGTGAATTTTTTGTATGTATTGATGTAAGCTCCTTTTAGAATTTTATAAATTTTACATTTACATTTCTGAGTTATGGGGTTTTATTCATTAAAAAAGGGGTGATTTTCCAGTTTTCGGACAATAACTAAAAATGCTGTCACCAATTCTCAGGAAACTTTGGTGAATTGTTTATATCTATTGATGTAAGCTCCCTTTTTATTTTCATAAATTTCTAATATGACATTGAGAATTAATTGAACTTTATTTGTTTATAGTCTGACAACAGATATACTAAGTATTGCACAACAGCAAGAAATCTTTAATTGAATATAAATTCAATTCATATATAACCAATTTCAAGTTCTTTGACTACATTTATTCAGAAACCTATAATATGTCAAATATTTAATTACAATCCAAATTCAGACCTGAATCAAGCTTGAATATAGTGTCCATTTTTGCCCCAACTGTTCAGGGTTGGACCTCTGCGGGCATATCTAGCTGCGCTCAGCGAAGCAGTTTTTTTTCTTCAGTTTCTCAAGTTATAAAATAGTTTTTACTTGCCATTTTATTTCTTTATGTCATTTCTTTATTGTATATATCATATTTTTATACGACCGCAAAAAAATTTTTGTGGTCGTATATTGGTATGACGTTGGCGTCGTCGTTGTCGTCCTCGTCGTCTGGCGTCGTCCGGCGTCGTCCGAAGACGCATTGGTTTTCGCACTCTAACTTTAATTTAAGTGAATGGATCTCTATGAAATTTTACCACAAGGTTCAATACCACAAAAGGAAGGTTGGGATTGATTTTGGGGGTTATGGTACCAACAGTAAAGGAATTAGGGGCCAAAAAGGGGCCAAAAATAAGCATTTTTGTAACTTCCAGACATAACTTGTGTGTTAGTGTATGGATCTCTCTGACATTGTACCACAAGGTTCCATATCACATAAGGAATGCTGGGATTGATTTTGGGGGTAATTGCCTCAAAATATTAGGAATTAGGGGCCAAAAAAGGGGCAAAAAAACAAGCATTTTTCTAGTTTCATGACAATAACTTGTGTGTAAGTGCATGGATCTTTCTGAAATTGTACTACAAGGTTCCATATCACAAAAGAAAAGCTGGAATTGAGTTTGGGGGTAATTGCTGAAACGTTTAGGTATTGGGGGCCAAAAAGGGGCCAAAAATAAGCATTTTTCTAGTTTCCAGACAATAACTTGTGTTCAAGTGTATGGATTTCTCTGAAATTGTACTGCAAGGTACCATACCACAAAGGGAAGGCTGGGATTGATGATGGGGGTAATTGCCTCAATATTTTAGGAATTAGGGGCCAAAAAGGGGCTAAAAACAAGCATTTTTCTAGTTTCAGGACAATAACTTGTGTGTAAGTGTATGGATCTTTCTGATATTGTACTACAAGGTTGCATATCACAAAGGGAAAGCTGGGTTTGAGTTTGGGGTTAATTGCCCTAATTGTTTAGGAATTTGGGGCCGAAAAGGGGCCAAAAAACACATTTTTCTAGTTTCCAGACAATAACTTGTGTTCAAGTGTATGGATCTCTCTGAAATTGTACTGCAAGGTACCATACCACAAAGGGAAGGCTGGGATTGAGTTTGGGGGTGATGAATCATAAGGGGGTTCAAAAAATTTGGGGAGGGGGATTTTTTTTTTTTTTTTTTTTTTTTTTCTTTTTTTTTCTTTTAAAATTTTCCATTTTAAGTTGGTTATTTCTGATTTATATTTAAAAACAAATAATAATGATATGGTAGGAGATACACACCAAACAGGATGTGTAAATTATTATATAATAAGTATTGTGCAATAGCAAGAAATTTTCAATTGCACGGTATTGCACAATAACAAGAAATCTTCAATTGCACAGTATTGCGCAATATCAAGAAATCTTCAATTGCACAGTATTGCGCAATAGCAAGAAATATCATATAGCACAATATTGCGCAATAGCAAGAATTTATCAATTGTACAGTATTGCGCAATAGCAAGAAATATTTAATTGCACAGTATTGTGCAAAAGAAGATACTTTGTATAAATTGCTTATTTCTTGACCAATTTCAATGGGGTTTTATTCTTGAATTCTTGGGGTTCTTTAATATGCTGAATCTAACCGTGTATTTAGTTTTTGGATTTTGGGCCCCGTTTTTAAATTGGTCCACATTGAGGTCCAAAGGGTCCAAAATTAAACTTTGTTTGATTTCATCAAAAATTGAATTATTGGGGTTCTTTGATATGCCGAATCTAACCATGTATTTAGATTCTTAATTTTTGGTTCCGTTTTCAAATTGGTCTACATTAAGGTCCAAAGGGTCCAAAATTAAACTTAGTTTGATTTTAACAGAAATTTAATTCTTAGGGTTCTTTGATATGCTGAATCTAAACATGTATTTAGATTTTTGATTATGGGCCCAGTTTTCAAGTTGGTCCAAATCGGGGTCCAAAATTAAACTTTGTTTGATTTCAACAAAAATTGAATATATGGGATTCTTTGATATGCTGAATCTAACCATGTATTTAGATTTTTGATTTTTGGGCCCCGTTATCAACTTTGTCCACATTGAGGTCAAAAGGGTCCAAAATTAAACTTTTGTTTGATTTCATCAAAAATTGAATTCTTGGGGTTCTTTGATATGCTGAATCTAACCATGTATTTAGATTTTGGATATTGGACCATAATAGGTGAATGTCCAATTTAAAATTTTTAAGTTCTTAGACCACATTCATTCTGTGTCAGAAACCTATGTTGTGTCAAATATTTAATCACAATCCAAATGCAAAGCTGTATCAAGCTTGAATGTTGTGTCCATACTTGCCCCAACTGTTCAGGGTTCGACCTCTGCGGTCGTATCAAGCTGCGCCCTGCGGAGCATTTTATTAATTTCTGATTTAAAAAGAAAAAAAAATTTCTCTCCATTTTTCTTTTCTTACTAGAAAACTAGATACCACACAAAAGTAGCCTCTTTACTTGACTGTGTCACTCTTCTCTCAGATTCCAAACATAGGATGCAACCACACAGAAGTTGTCTCTTTACTTGAATGTGTCTCTTTGCTCTCAGATTCTAGCTAGAACACAGACACAACCAAACAAAAGTAGCCTCTTAACTTGACTGTGTCACTCTGCTTTCAGATTCTAACTAGAACACAAGAATACTATACACAACCACACACTGTGTCACTCTGCCTTCAGATTCGAACAAGAACATAAAATACAACCACACAAAAGTTGTCTCTTTACTTGACTGTGTCACTCTGCTATCTGATTCTTACAAGAACATTAGACACAACCACACCAAAGTAGCCTCTTTACTTGACTGTGTCCTGTGTCACTCTACTCTCAGATTCTAACTAGAACACAACAACACTATACACAACAACACTAAGTAGTCTCTTTACTTGACTGTGTCACTCTGCCTTCAGATTCTAACTAAAACACTAGACACAACCACACAAAAGTAGCCTCCTTACTTGACTGTGTCACTCTGTTCTCAGATTCTAACTAGAACACTAGACACAACCACACAAAAGAAGCCTCTTTACTTGACTGTGTCCTGTGTCACTCTACTCTCAGATTCTAACTAGAACACAAGAACACTATACACAACAACACTTAGTAGCCTCTTTACTTGACTGTGTCACTCTGCCTTCAGATTCTAACTAGAACACTAGACACAACCTCACAAAAGTAGCCTCTTTACTTGACTGTGTCACTCTGCTATTATATTCTAATAAGAACACTAGATACAACCTCACAAAAGTAGCCTCTTTACTTGACTGTTTCTCTCTGCCTTCAGATTCTAACTAGAACACTAGACACAACCTCAAAGAAAGTAGCCTCCTTACTTGACTGTGTCACTCTGTTCTCAGATTCTAACTAGAACACTAGAACATAAGATGCAACCACAATAAGGAGCCACCTTACTTGACTGTGTCACTCTGCTCTCAGATTCTAACTAGACACAAGCACACTAGACACAACAACACAAAAGTAGTTTCTTTACTTGGCTGTGTCACTCTGCATTCAGATTTGAACCAGAACACTAGACACAATCTCACAAAAGTTGTTTCTTTACTTGACTGTGTCACTCTGCTCTTAGATTCTAACAAGAACACTAGAGCATAAGATACACCAATACAAAAGTTGTCTCTTTACTTGACTGTGTCACTCTACTCTCTGATTCTAACCAAAACACTAGACACAACCACTTAAAAGTAGCCTCTTTACTTAACTGTGTCACCATACTCTCAGATTCTAACTAGAACACATGAACATCAAATACAACCAAACACAAGTAGCCTCTCTAATTGACTGTGTGTCACTCTTTTCTCTAATTCTAGCTAGAACACTAGACACAACCACACAAAAGTATCCTCTTTACTTGACTGTGTCACTCTGCTCTCAGATTCTAACTAGAACACTAGACACAACCACACAATAGTTGTCTCTTTACTTGACTGTGTCACTGCTCTCAGAATCTTAACTAGAACACTAGACACAACCACACAAAAGTAGCTTCTTACTTGACTGTGTCACTCTGCTCTAAGATTCTAACTAGAACACTAGAACATTAAATATAACCACACAAAAGTTGACTCTTTAATTGACTGTGTCACTCTACTCTCTGATTCTAACTAGAACACTAGATACAACACAAAAGTAGTCTCTTTACTTTACTCTGCTCTTATGTTTGAACTGGAACACTAGAAAACAATGATACCACACACAAGCTAAGTATCCTCTAATTTTAGCTGTGTCACTCTGCTCTCAGAATCTTAACTAGAACACTAGAAACAAGTGATGGATACAAGTTTTTTAGAGTATATTTCTGGACCATAAAGACCATTACATGATCGAAATTTTCAAATTTATGTTTTTAGATGATGTTGACCTACTTATGGCTTCCCCGGCGAGGGAAATGAGAAGAAGCGAGACTCCACAGCCTTATCCTTTACCCATGCCAGCTTATGGTGGATACTTTGCTCCACTGACTGATTATCTTCCAGAGAATCTTCATCCTACTCCTGGCTTCCACAGGTAATAATTCATTGCATATATAAAAACATCCTGTAGTCTGAATAAAACAGTCTGGTTTACAGTAAGTATTTTAACATCAACTTTATTATGGCCTATTATATGTAAATATTTCCTACTTTTGAATTACATGTAAACCATATTAACTTATCAATCTGTAATTTCTTTTTCAGGCTTTCAAATGTTAAGATTTCTTTCTTTTAGACTTTTGTAAGCATACTTTTTTTGTGGGTGTATTTTTTCCAGCATACTAACTATCACTAGAAAATCAAAGGGTATGCAAAGCACAACATCAAAGTAAATACAACATGGTTACAATATGGAGAAGACAAATAAATAGTCCACAAAACATTTCATAGAAAAATCAATTCTGAGCAACACAAATTTGATAAACAATTGAGGATGTATATGTTGTCAGATTTTGGGGGTTGTTGTCCTAACTGTTAAGGAATTAGGGGCCAGAAAGGGGCTGTTGTCCAAAGACATTTGGTTTCAGGACAATAACTTGTGTATAAGTGTATGGATCTCTATGAAATTGTACCACAAGGTTCCATCCCTTAAAAGGAGGGTTGGATTGATTTTGGGGGTTATGACCCAAGCTTTTAAGAATTAGGGGCCAAAAAACAAGGATTTTCTGGTTTCCAGACAATAACTTGAGTAAAATATATTTTATGATGGCATGATTCTAAACCCATAAGAGAGGGATTGTGCTTGATTTTCATATGATGAAGACATAATCTTTCAATCAGTTTAATTGAGGTCTGGAGCTGGCATGTCAGTAACTGCTAGTAGTCCTTTGTTAATTAATGTTGTTCATTGTCATTTTGCCTAGTTTCTTCTGTTACCTGTTCTAAAATCAGACTCGGACTTCTTTTAAACTGAGTTTTACTGTGCATATTGCTGTGTGTTTGTTTATATATATTCCATATTAGCTAGAGGTATAGGAGGAGGGTTGAGATCTCACAGAACATGTTTAATGCTGCCACACTTTTGCACTTGTCCCAAGTCATGAACCTATGGATATTAGTGTTGTATGTTTTTTTAATTTTGGTTCATTTATATGTTTCGGGGTTTATTGTGACATCCATTTTTGCTGAACTAGTATACATTATTGTTTAGGGGCCAGCTGAAGCCTGCCTCTGGGTGCAGGATTTTCTCGCTGTGTTGAAGACCCATTGGTGGCCTTAAGCTGTTTGGTCAGGTTGATGTCTCTTTGACACATTCCCTGTTTCCATTCTCAATTATTTGTCTATCATCTTGAAAACCACTATAAATAGAAAAATCTGATGGGGCAAAAAACATTGGTAAGAATAAGATAAAACACACATTTATGCCCTGCAACTGAAAGTTGGGGGGCATATTGTTTTACCCCTGTCCGTCCGTCCGTCCGTCCGTCCCATTATGGGTATATAGTTATTCCAAATGACACCTCCTACATTGGAAAGCTATGAAGTTTTCACTTTGCTGGCTGTTTGTACATATATTGAAGGTATGCATGTGGTCAGGGTTTTGATTTTTAACCGGATTTTTGAAGGAAATATCGTTTATTGATTTGGGGATATACGGCAGGCGGGCGGACGGGCGGACAGGCGGGAGGATGGGCGGCTGCCGCACATTGTCTCTTCAATAACATGAAAACGCTGTGATGATTTTTTTTCGAATTTAGATATGTTGTTTCTTGTGACTAAATGAAGGTCAAGTTCAATTTTCACGAGTTTAGTATTTCTCCTTTTTGAGTTATTGCCATTTTAATATCCAAAAGTGGTATTTTTAAATATTTTTCTCTTGTTATCATATTATGACTAAGCATATGGTAAATGTCTTATCTCACAATAAAAATTGGAGTGACAGATTTATTTGAAAATTTTCTATTTCCTAATTGGTGATGATTATAAGCTATGTTGTTAGACATTTTGAAGTTAATTACATTATTAATTATTATATATGTAATGTTAGAGTACTATGTTAAACCATAGTTCTGTTCAAAGGGAAATAACTCTTCAGATTTGCAAGTATGATTTTCATTATTAATTATATCTGGGAAATATCTTTCTTTTCTTTGGTAAATTGTTTGAAGAATTTTATGGTGTGTTTGTTATTCTGTAAAAACTAATTTTCTGAGTGATATATGTATATAATTGTTTTGTTGTGTCTGTTAATTTTGATTTTTACTTGATCCTGTTTGGGGTTCCAGATTTGAAAATTCATTAGATAATAATCTATTATTTATAAGTTAAAAAGTTATAATTAAGATAAGATAAGTTGCAGATCTATATTAGTATGTTACAAATGAAAGAAAAAATATTGGGAACTATCAACTATATATATAAAGTTTGATTACACTAAGTGATAAGATAACACACATCTGGTTATTGTCAATGCAATCACCCAATTATAAATGGAGTGACAGATTTATTAGAAAACTATTAATTATATTTGATTATAATTTAAAAATAAATATAACATCATATCTCTTTACATCATATCTAATTTTAGAGTCTATGGTTAAATCATATTTAAATTAGATTTACATTATTGGTTCATGGAAATAAAGTTTGAGTTATTTCCATTTGAACAGAAATGGTTTAACTAAGAAGTATTTCATCAAAAATTGAATTCGTGGGGTTCTTTGATATGCTGATTCTAGCAATGTACTTTGATTTTGGATATTGGACCATAATAGGTAAATGTTCAATTTCAAATTTTTCAGTTCTTTGACCACATTTATTTTGTGTCACAAACCCATGCTGTATCAAATATTCAATCACAATCCAAATTCAGAGCTGTTTTAAGCTTAAATGTTGTGTCCATACTTGCTCAACTGTTCGTGGTTCTACCTCTTCAGGAAAATCTGGTTTGCTGTCTCTCTGACAGCCTCTTGTTATTGATATTTGCTCTTTTAGGAGATAGTTGAACTCTGTCATTTTTGGAGTATTTGCTTGCATAAGAGGTGCATAGCATTTCCGTATAACTTCTCCTACAGTTTGAATGCTAGGAAGTTTTCATTTTGCTGGCTGTTTGTACATATATTGAAGGTGTGCATGTGGTCAGGGTTTTAATTTTTATTGACATTTGCTCTTTTGGGAGATAGTTGAACTTTGTCATTTTTTGGAGTATTTACTTGCATAAGAGGTGCATAGGGTTTCCAGATAATATATTGAAGGTGTGCATGTGGTCAGGGTTTTGATTTTTATTAATATTTGCTCTTTTGGAGATAGTTGAACTTTGTAATTTTTTAGGAGTATTTACTTGCATAAATTTAAGAGGTGCATAGCATTTCCAGATAACTACTCCTACATTTTGAATACTAGGAAGTTTTCACTTTGCTGACTGTTTGTACATATATTGAAGGTGTGCATGTGGTCAGGGTTTTGATTTTTATTAATATTTGCTCTTTTGGGAGATAGCTGAACTTTGTAATTTTTAATCAGATTTTCGAAAGAAAAATCGGTTATTGATTTGGGGATGTACAGCGGGCGGGCAGCTGCCAAACAGTGTCCATTCATTAACATGAAAACCCTCTGACGCAATCTTTTCATATTTAGATATGTTGTTTCCTGTGACTAAATGAAGGTCAAGTTCAATTTTCATGATTTTAGCTGTTCTCGTTGTTGAGTTTTAAACCTTTCAGTAGTACAATTTATTTTTATTATATGAATTTGAGTTATTTCCCTTTGAACAGAAATTAATAATTAATTTCTTTGTCATTTGGTCTCTTGTTAGATTTTTTTTTAATTTTGAGGCCTGTCTTCAAATTGGTGTTCTTTGATATGCTGAATCTAAGTGGTATTTATATTTTTGATTATAATTTGAAAATAGATATAACATCATATCTAATTTTAGAGAACTATTTTTTAGTGGTTAAATCATATCTAATTTTTGGAGTATATACTTGCATAGGAGGTGCATAGCGTTTCCAGATAACTCCTCCTACCATAGACCTATGTGCTCCCATGCTCAACTTTATTTTAAAATCTGCAGGGGCATCATTTGTGTCTCCCAGACACAATAATATCTCAAAGAAAGTCCTACATTGACTTTGTTATAATACAGTTACTTAAGAGTGGAGTGCAGTGGCATCACTTTGTCTAGTTTTTGTACGCCCATTTACGGGACATATTATGGTATACCGTTGTCCGTCTGTCCGTCCGTCTGTCCGTATGTCCGTCATCAACATGTCGGACAATAACTCAAAAATGCTTTAACCAATTGGCATGAAACTTTGGTGAATTGTTTATATCTATTGACGTGAGCTCCCATTTGTTTTTTATAAATTTTAGATTTTACGTTTCCGAGTTATGGGGTTTTATTCATTAAAAAAAGGGGGATTTTCCAGTTTTCGGACAATAACTTATTCATCAAAAACACTTTCACCAATTTGCAAGAAACTATGGTGAATTGTTTATATCTATTGGCATGAGCTCCCTTTTTTCGATTTTTATAAATTTTCGATTTTACGTTTCCGAGTTATGGGGTTTTATTCATTAAAAAAAGGGGAATTTTCCAGTTTTCGGACAATAACTCAAAAATGCTTTCAGCAGTTTTCATGAAACTTTGGTGAATTGTTTATATCTATTGACGAAAGCTCCTTTTCAATTTTTATAAATTTTAGGTTTTATGTTTCCGAGTTATGGGGTTTTATTCATTAAAAAAAGAGGGATCTTCCAGTTTTTGGACTATAACTCAAAAACACTTTCACCAATTGGCATGAAACTTTGGTGAATTGTTTATATCTATTGACGTGAGCTCCCTTTTGTTTTTTATAAATTCTAGAATTTTCGTTTCCGAGTTATGGGGTTTTATTCATTAAAAAAAGGGGGATATTCCAGTTTTCGGACAATAACTCAAAAACACTTTCTTCAATTTGCAAGAAACTTTGGTGAATTGTTTATATCTATTGGCATGATCTTCCTTTTTTCGATTTTTATAAATTTTTGATTTTATGTTTCCGAGTTATGGGGTTTTATTCATTAAAAAAAGGGGGATTTTCCAGTTTTCAGACAATAACTCAAAAATGTATTCAGCAGTTTTCATGAAACTTTGGTGAATTGTTTATATCTATTGACGAAAGCTCCTTTTCAATTTTTATAAATTTTAGATTTTACGTTTCCGAGTTATGGGATTTTATTCATAAAAAAGGGGTGATTTTCCAGTTTTCGGACAATATCTTTAAAGTGCTTTGAGCAGTTTTTATGAAACTTTGGTGACTGGTTTATATCTATTAAGATAACCTCCCTTTAGTTTTTCATGAATTTCTGATATGACATTGAGAAGTTATTGAACTTTATTCTTTGAAAAAGCGACGGGAGTATCATGCACTCGTGGCGCAGCTGTTTATTTTCATTAAGATAAAAAGTCTTACAAATGAATCTCATTCCTGTCTCAAAATTTATATATTTTTATCAAAGATCTTGACTGAGCGACAGCGAGGGGTAAAATATAGGGATAAAGGGCCAACCCGTGGTAAAATCAATATAAATTCAAGCCCCCATGAATTATTTCTATTCTAATAGGACAAAGACAGCAATTCTTTTGGATCAAAGCTCTATGTGAAGGGAAATGTTTGCTGTTCTCGAAATTGAACACACTATTAATATTGACGTAAACGATGAAGAAAATTGAATAAGTGACATTCTTAAACCATATACAATAACATACTAAGACAGATTTGGATGAATTTAATTGACTATCTTACTTTCATATTAGAAGACATGGACATTATACAAATTTTTACCATCGTTTGTTTATGTTTTCATGTTTTGAGGACTCAGTTTCCCATTCGTGCATTTTCCCGTAAAATCCTAACATTCTTACGTCATCTTTCAATGACGTCATTTACACCATCTGACGAGAGGTAAATCATTTATAAAAAACATACGACGTGGGAGTAGAATTAGAACAGCCCAAACAAATCATGACGTTTACTATCAGCTAACATATGAATATATTAGAATTTTACCTCGGGTGTGTACTCAAAGTGTTTGAAGAACGTTATATTAGAATTGCTAAGCAATCCAAGATGGTGGAAGAAACCTGATCTACCTTAAAGATTCTTTTTTTCAAAACTTCTTACTGAGGGTGCTTGATTGTTGATGATGAAATATATCCAATGATTTATTAAAAATGTTTGCAGAAGTAACATGGCAGTGATGTTTCTGACAGATTTGGTGTTGGATGGTTTGGAGATTGACTGGTCTGCACATCTTCCATTGATGTTACATCTTATATTTTTAGGTAAGTTGTAAGACCCATTTCCAAATGACCAATGTGGTGCTATTTAACATCACTTGCTGTAATGCACTTTTCTGAAAATTTTACATTTTTATCTTACCTACTGAAATACTGTGCCACTTTAATCCAGAGACAGGCCAAATAAAGTACCCAATTTAAAAGTCTTTTACAATGTATTAAAAAATTATTCTTTTACTCTAAAAGGGAAATAGGAAAAATGATTTGGAAATTCCTCAGATTGTGTAGCAGTGCTGCCACAGAGGCTCTATGTGAACCTCATTGGAAATTTTATTTTCATCTTTTTATCTGCATTTACTTGGCCAAAATGGGTCAAATTTTATTGCAAGAATAATGTGCAGAAAGTCCTTGAAAAAGATCTGTTATCATTTTAGTCATATGAAAAAGAAACATTGATGCTATAATCAAAGAATGTGTCTTATAAGTCAGTTTTCAGATAAATCTAAAACTATGAACTCAATTTAACCATTTTATGATTTAGAATCAGTACATGTCCTTTTTACACTGACCTTAGCTATATCTATAGAACAATATAAGTACCAACTGTCAGATCCATGTACAAAAGGGGAGTATAAATAATTGGTTCATAATATAAGAGGCACACAACAATAGCTAAATAAGCAATACATGCTTCTTTGAACCACCTATTTTTTTATGCCTTACCTACTATAGTAGGTTACCAATATATTTTCCAGTCTGTTGATCTGTTGTTCCACTCCATAGCAGGTTAAAGTTTTGGTTTATATAAGTTTACCATGAAGTTGTTGTATCAGCAATCTGAAACTTAGTTCATGTGTTCATTGTGATGTAAACTTTGAAAAATATATACCACTTTAAGTTTTAATCCAGATACCATGATTCACTAAGCAGGGAAACATGATAGAGCGAGTGGGCATGGTGTATGGACACATATTTTTGTTTTAGATGAATTGATAATATTTCATAGTACTTTATATACTATTAAATAAGAAGTGAATATAAAAAGCTTTTGAAACTAAAACACAGATTGGATTTTCTGTGTTGGTTTTTGCAAGTAAAATCACACACAGCTTGTGATTTCTTTACATAGTTTTATGGTCAAGGTACAGTAAATGGGTTATGTCACAGTTTTGGTGAAATTTTTATGGCCTTGGCACTTAGTAGTCGATGCCACATCATTTCACCCTTGTCCATAATTCCTTCATTTCTGTCATGCAGCAACGAACATTGATACAGACTTTTTAGCTCACCTGGCCCAAAGGGCCAAGTGAGCTTTTCTCATCACTTGGCGTCCATCATCCGTCGTCCTGCGTCCTGTGTCCTGCATCCAGCGTCCTGCGTCCGTCGTCTGTAAACTTTTACAAAAATCTTCTCCTCTGAAACAACTGGGCTAAATTTGACCAAACTTGTCCACAATCATCATTAGGGTATCTAGTTTAAAATATGTCCGGTTGACCCGGCCAACCAATCAAGATGGCCGCCATGGCTAAAAATAGAACATAGGGGTAAAATGTAGATTTTGGCTTATATCTCTGAAACCAAAGCATTTAGAGCAAATCTGACATGGGGTATAATTGTTTATCAGGTCAAGATCTATCTGCCCTGAAATTTTCAGATGAATCTGACAACCCGTTGTTGGGTTGCTGCCCCTGAATTTGTAATTTTAAGGAAATTTTGCCGTTTTTGGTTATTATCTTGAATATTATTATAGATAGAGATAGACTGTAAACAGCAATAATGTTCAGCAAAGTAAGATCTACAAATAAGTCATCTTGACCAAAATGGTCAGTCGACCCCTTAAGGAGTTATTGCCCTTTATAGTCAATTTTTAACCATTTTTCGTAAATTTTTGTAATCTTTTACAACAATCTTCTCCTCTGAAACTACTTAAACAAATTTAACCAAACTTGTCAACAATCATCATTAGGGTATCTTGTTTAAAAAATGTGTCCGATGACCCCGCCCGCGAACCAAGATGGCCGACATGGCTAAAAAATAGTTCATAGGGTAAAATGCAGTTTTTGGCTGATATCTCTGAAACCAAAGCATTTAGAGCAAATCTGATGAGGATAAAATTGTTCATTAGGTCAAGATCTATGTCCTGAAATTTTCAGACCAATCAGGCAACACGTTGTTGGGTTGCTGCCCCTGAATTGGTAATTTTAAGAAAATTTTGCAGCTTTTGGTTATTATCTTGAATATTATAATAGATAGAGATAAACTGTAAACAGCAATAATGTACAGCAAAGTATGATCTACAAATAAGTCAACATGACCAAAATTGTCAATTGACCCCTTAAGGAGTTATTGCCCTTTATAGTCAATTTTTTACAATTTTCATAAATTTTTGTAAATTTTTACAAAATATTTTCCACTGTAACTACTGGGCCAAGTTCATTATAGATGGAGATAATTGTAAGCAGCAAGAATGTTCAGTAAAGTAAGATCTACAAACACATCACCATCACCAAAACACAATTTTGTCATGAATCCATCTGTGTCCTTTGTTTAATATGCACATAGACCAAGGTGAGCGATACAGGCTCTTTAGAGCCTCTAGTTTTTAGCTCACCTGGCCCAAAGAGCCAAGTGAGCTTTTCTCATCACTTGGCTTCCGTCGTCGTCTGTCGTCCTGCGTCCGTCGTCGTTAACTTTTACAAAAATCTTCTCCTCTGAAACTACTGGGCCAAATTTGACCAAACTTGGCGACAATCATCCTTGGGATATCTAGTTTAAAAAATGTGTCCGGTGACCCGGCCAACCAACCAAGATGGCCGCCATGTCTAAAAATAGAACATAGGGGTAAAATGTAGATTTTGGCTTATATCTCTGAAACCAAAGCATTACGAGCAAATCTGACACGGGGGTAAAATTGTTTATCAGGTCAAGATCTATCTGCCCTGAAATTGTCAGACCAATCAGGCAACACGTTGTTGGGTTGCTGCCCCTGAATTGGTAATTTTAAGAAAATTTTGCAGCTTTTGGTTATTATCTTGAATATTATTATAGATAGAGATAAACTATAAACAGCAATAATGTACAGCAAAGTTAGATCTACAAATAAGTCAACATGACCAAAATTGTCAATTGACCCTTTAAGGAGTTATTGCCCTTTATAGTCAATTTTTAACCAAATATTTTCCACTGTAACTACCGGGCCAAGTTCATTATAGATAGAGATAATAGTAAGGAGCAAGAATGTTCAGTAAAGTAAGATCTACAAACACATCACCATCACCAAAACACAATTTTGTCATGAATCCATCTGTGTCCTTTGTTTAATATGCACATAGACCAAGGTGAGCGACACAGGCTCTTTAGAGCCTCTAGTTTATAAATGCCTTTTGACGCATTTATAACTGAGAATTCCCTTTCGTAGAAGTGACAAAATTTTTCCTTGTAAAGTTTTATTTATCTATTATAGTTTTCAAAATAACAGACAAAATTGCAAAAAAATGGTAAATCATACATGTGATAGGGCTTTGGACTGAAAATTTCGTGAAAATAACAGTTATACAGACTTTTTTTCTAAACACCTTCACATATTGAGCTGATTTGTATTATGTGAATCTATTATGGTGAGTTACAGATCAAGTTGACATTTGGTTCCACTCTGCTGAATTTTTCCAAAATTACGGGCTTTGGACTTTGAAAATTTCATGAAAATAACAGTTATACAGACTTTTTTTCTGAATGCTTTTGCATATTGAGCTGATTTTTATACGACCTCAAAAGATTTTGCGGTCGTAAATTGGTATCACGTCGTCGTCGTCATTAAAAGAAATTGTGGGGGGTCAATTTTTTCTCATTTCAGATTTCAGAAATTAAAAAGAAAAATTCTTCAAATATTTTTTTTGCAAAAAAAAAAGTGGGGGTCCCTGGGGGTCAATACGCAACAGCAAAGTGTATTGCACAAAAGCAAAAAATAAATTGAATACAAATTCAAATCATATAACCAATTCTAAGTTCTTTGACTACAGTTATTCTGTGTCAGAAACCTATTATGTGTCAAATATTTAATTCCAATCCAAATTCAGACCTGTATCAAGCGCGAATATTGTGTCCATTTTTGCCCCAACTGTTAAGGGTTGGACCTCTGCGGTCGTATCCAGCCGTGCTCGGCGAAGCAATTTATTAGTAAATGTGAGTCTACAATGATGAGTTGCAGATTGAGTTAATGTTTGATTCAGCTTTGCTGATTTTTGCAGAAATTACGGGGCTTTGGACCTTGAAAATTTTGTGAAAATAACAGTTATACAGACTTTTCATTATAAAATTTCCACTCTTAAAAATGGCTTCAAGCTTTTCTTGTGAGCAGGGCCATTCGTGTCCTTCAGACACATCTAGTTAAATCAACTTTGACTTGTTGAACTATAACTTAAAGTTGAAAAAAAAATGCATTTATTATCTGTTTTATTTTCTGAAACATTACTGATTGAATTTCTTTCAAAATAGGTGAACATTTGTAAAAAAAAAAGAACATGAAATTGGCTAAAAACTTTCTTAAAATCATCAAATCTCAAATTTCAAATCCAATGATTTTTCTTAGAAAATTATATGTTATTGATACATATACAGTCGACTCAGTCTCGTTATCTCGAAGTCAGTCGGACCAGAGAAATATTTCAAGACACCCGTAGTTCAACTCAAACTAATACCGGATGTTTGACAGACAAAGGAACACAACTCTCACTTAGCTTGGTAAGGCTAAAATAACTCCATATGTATGGGTCAGGATAGATATTCTGGTCTGAAATTGATGTATCTGTATGTTATTGTGTTTTATAATTTTAATAAAATTATGTTTTTTTTTTGTCTCTTTATTATTTCTTTGTACAGTAACAATATTTCGGATAGTTTTTGGCCAAGAGAATAATTTTGGACATTGATCCAAAGGCATGTTGAAAGAAAAGAAAACAAATCTTATGTAACACAAGTAAATAATTTCTCAGATTTTAGAAAAATTAGATTGCTTTTCATTTTCTTTTTTTATCTCGATCTTTTCCCACAAAAGATTACAAGTGATTAAAGATGCCTATTGAGTAGTTTTCAGTTGTTCACTGACTCTCACTTTATGCACAAGCAAGCTCATTAATTATGGTTAATAGATCATAAAACTTTTTAAATATTTTTTTCATTATCTATAACAATGTATCGGTAATTATTAGTCCCCTACCGACGAAGTCGAAGTGGACTTTAGGTTTGCACTCCGTCCATCTGTCTGTCTGTCTGTCTGTCTGTCTGTCCATCTGTCAGTCCAGCAAATCAGTTTTCCAGACTTTTTTTCTTAGTGCTTGAAGATATTGATTTGATATTTGTTTTATTGATTTATCATGACAAGTTACAGGTCAAGTTAAATTTTCACGATTTTAGCTTTTCTCTTTGTTCAGTTAAAGCCCTTTCCCTACAATTAAATTTTTGATGAAATACTTATTAATTAGTAGATTTCTGTTCAAAGGGAAATAACTCATTTTTTAAAAGACTTTTAAAAGACAAAATGACATTTTGGATTTTTTTCCTTTTCTTTGGTAAATTGTTTGAAGAATTTAGTGGTAGGTTTGTTTGTCATTTTTGAAGATATTGATTTGATAATTAGTATATAGTTTATCATGACAAGTTACAGATCAAGTTGGAATTTTGTTCCAGTCTGATAATTTTGTGCAGAGTTATGGTCTTTGGACACTTAAATAATCAGTTTTCAACAGTTTTTTTTCGTCATGCTTGAAGATTTTGACTTGATATTTTTATGTAGTTTACACCATGACAAGTTATAGATCAAATTAGAATTTCGTTCCATTACAATGAATTTGTAACCGGTAGGGGACTATGTATTGCCATATTGCCATGCAATACTCACAGAATGCTTGTTTATTATGGTGATCAAAGAAAATCTTAGGTAAACACTCTCAGGAAAAGAATGTCATAAATCAAAACAGTTGTCAATGTCTGGAAATTTAATTACAGGTATGTGTTGTCAGATAAACTGGTCAAGCCAATTAAATCCTGGAGGTCATGTTTTTACATATGTGTATTACTTCGACAGAACCAAAGCAATTCATATGCTTTTGTTAACCTTGGGATCATAAAACTTCGGTTCGACATAACCGAAATTCCGACTCGTCCAATTTCGACTCATCAGGAGTCAAAATACATATATTTGTATGAAACAAAGTTTGGGTCGACGGGAAATTTTAACTCATATGAAATTTCGAGTCAACCAATCGAGACAACAAGAGTTAACTGTACTAATTTCAATGATGTAAAATAATCATACTGTCAAGACTTTAATTTTGGTGTATTAGCCAATCTGTTACCAAGTTAGTAGTGAAAGACGTCAAAAAATGATGTTTGACGACTTATAACGTGTTAATGGTTTCTATGAATTCTATTTGAAAAGATAATTTATAGCACGACTTTTGGTATGGAAACTTTTTAAGGTTGAAAAGAATATGTTGACCCTTAGATGTCTGTTATACTTTGCTGTCTCAATGATGCACACCTGGTGTCATTTAAATTGTTTGTAATTTTAGGTCTAGATCACATGAGAGCTTTAGTGTATGAACACTGTAAGAAACTGTTAGAGAATCTTATGTTACTAGCAGCCCAAGATAACGAGAATGTTGCAAGAACTTTATTACAGTACAGAAGTAATATTACAGATACACTGACACTGATAGCAGAAGACAGAGATATTCATGGAGCATTGGGTTAGTAAAATAATGAAGTATAATTCCAAATACACTGACAGTGAAAGCAGAAGACCAAGATTTCCAGGGAGCATTAGGTTAGTAAAATAATGAAGTAATATTACTGAAACACTGACACTGAAAGCAGAAGACAGAGATTTCCAGGGAGCATTGGGATAGTAAAATAATGAAGTAATATTACAGAAACACTGACACTGAAAGCAGAAAACAGAGATTTCCAGGGAGCATTGGGTTAGTAAAAAAATGAAGTAATATTACTGAAACACTGTGTCTGAAATCAGCAGACAGAGACTTCCAGGGAGCATTGGGTTAGTAAAATAATGAAGTTATATTACTGAAACACTGACACTGAAAGCAGAAGACAGAGATTTCCAGGGAGCATTAGGTTAGTAAAAAATGAAGTAATATTACTGAAACACTGACTCTGAAAGCAGAAGACAGAGATATCCTGTGAGAATTAGGTTAGTAAAATAATGAAGTAATATTACTGAAACACTTACTCTGAAAGCAGAAGACAGTGATATTCATTGAGCATTGGGTTAGTAAAATAATGAAGTAATATTCCAGATACACTGACACTGAAAGCAGAAGACAGAGATTTCCAGGGAGCATTGGGTTAGTAAAATAATGAAGTAATATTACTGAAACACTGACACTGAAAGCAGAAGACAGAGATTTCCAGGGAGCATTGGGTTAGTAAAATAATGAAGTTATATTACTGAAACACTTGACACTGAAAGCAGAAGACAGAGATTTCCAGGGAGCATTGGGTTAGTAAAAAAATGAAGTAATATTACTGAAACACTGACTCTGAAAGCAGAAGACAGAGATATCCTGTGAGCATTATGTTAGTAAAATAATGAAGTAATATTACTGAAACACTGACTCTGAAAGCAGAAGACAGTGATTTTCATTGGGCAATGGGTTAGTAAAATAATGAAGTAATATTCCAGATACACTGACACTGAAAGCAGAAGACAGAGATTTCCAGGGAGCATAAGGTTAGTAAAATAATGAATTAATATTACTGAAACACTGACACTGAAAGCAGAAGACAGAGATTTCCAGGGAGCATTGGGTTAGTAAAATAATGAAGTAATATTACTGAAACACTGACTCTGAAAGCAGAAGACAGAGATATCCAGTGAGCATTAGGTTAGTAAAATAATGAAGTAATATTACTGAAACACTGACTCTGAAAGCATAAGACAGAGATATCCAGTGAGCATTAGGTAAGAGAAATAAAAGTAATATTACTATTAGTGAAACACTGACTCTGACGGCAGAAGACAGAGATTTCCAGGGAGCATTAGGTTAGTAAAATAATGAAGTAATATTACTGAAACACTGTCTCTGAAAGCAGAAGACAGAGATTTCCAGGGAGCATTAGGTAAGTGAAATAATGAAGTTATATTACAGAAACACTAACACTGAAAGCAGAAGACAGAGATTTCCAGTGAGCATTAGGTTAGTAAAATAATGAAGTAATATTACTGAAACACTGACTCTGAAAGCAGAAGACAGAGATATCCAGTTAGCATTAGGTTAGAGAAATAAAAGTAATATTACTATCAGTGAAACACTGACTCTGAAAGCAGAAGACAGAGATATTCATGGAGCATTGGGTAAGTAAAATAATGAAGTAATATTACTGAAACACTGACTCTGAAAGCAGAAGACAGAGATTTCCAGTGAGCATTAGGTTAGTAAAATAATGAAGTAATATTACAGAAACACTGACACTGAAAGCAGAAGACAGAGATTTCCAGGGAGCATTGGGTTAGTAAAATAATGAAGTAATATTACTGAAACACTGACACTGAAAGCAGAAAACACTGACTCTGAAAGCAGAAGACGGAGATATTCAGTGAGCATTAGGTTAGCAAAATAATGAAGAAATATTACTGAAAAACTGACTCTGAGAGCAGAAAACAGAGATTTCCAGGGAGCATTAGGTTAGTAAAATAATAAAGTAATATTACTGAAACACTGACTCTGAAAGCAGCTGACAGAGATTTCCAGGGAGCATTAGATAAGTAAAATAATGAAGTAATATTACAGAAACACTGACACTGAAAGCAAAGACAGAGATTACCAGTGAGCATTAGGTTAGTAAAATAATGAAGTAATATTACTGAAACATTGACTCTGTCAGCAGAAGACAGATATCCAGTGAGCATTAGGTTAGTAAAATTAATAAAGTAATATTACTGAAACACTGACTCTGAAAGCAGAAGACAGAGATTTCCAGGGAGCATAAGTTAGTAAAATAATTAAGTAATAATACAGAAACACTGACACTGAACGCAGAAAACACTGACTCTGAAAGCAGAAGACAGAGATATTCAGTGAGCATTAGGTAAGAGAAATAAAAGTAATATTACTATTAGTGAAACACTGACTCTGACGGCAGAAGACAGAGATTTCCAGGGAGCATTAGGTTAGTAAAATAATGAAGTAATATTACTGAAACACTGTCTCTGAAAGCAGAAGACAGAGATTTCCAGGGAGCATTAGGTAAGTGAAATAATGAAGTTATATTACAGAAACACTAACACTGAAAGCAGAAGGCAGAGATTTCCAGGGAGCATTAGGTTAGTAAAATAATGAAGTAATATTACTGAAACACTGACTCTGAAAGCAGAAGACAGAGATATCCAGTGAGCATTAGGTTAGTAAAATAATGAAGTAATATTTCTGAAACACTTGTCTCTGAAAGCAGAAGACAGAGATTTCCAGGGAGCATTAGGTAAGTGAAATAATGAAGTTATATTACAGAAACACTAACACTGAAAGCAGAAGGCAGAGATTTCCAGGGAGCATTAGGTTAGTAAAATAATGAAGTAATATTACTGAAACACTGACTCTGAAAGCAGAAGACAGAGATTTCCAGGGAGCATTAGGTTAGTAAAATAATGAAGTAATATTACAGAAACACTGACTCTGAGAGCAGAAAACAGAGATTTCCAGGAAGCATTAGGTTAGTAAAATAATGAAGTAATATTACAGAAACACTGACACTGAAAGCAGAAGACAGAGATTTCAAGGGAGCATTGGGTTAGTAAAATAATGAAGTAATATGAATGATACACTGACTCTGAAAACAAAAGACAGAGATATCCAGGGAGCATTGGGTTAGTAAAATAATGAAGTAATATTACTGAAATACTGACACCGAAAGCAGAAAACACTGACTCTGAAAGCAGAAGACAGAGATATTCAGTGAGCATTAGGTTAGTTAAATAATGAAGTAATATTACTGAAACACTGACTCTGAAAGCAGAAGACAGAGATTTCCAGGGAGCATAAGTTAGTAAAATAATTAACTAATATTACTGAAACACTGACACTGAAAGCAGAAAACACTGACTCTGAAAGCAGAAGACAGAGATATTCAGTGAGCATTAGGTTAGTAAAATATTGAAGTAATATTACTGAAACACTGACTCTGAAAGCAGAAGACAGAGATATTCAGTGAGCATTAGGTTAGTAAAATAATGAAGTAATATTACTGAAACACTGACTCTGAAAGTTGAAAACAGAGATTTCCAGGGAGCATAAGTTAGTAAAATAATTAAGTAATATTACTGAAACACTGACTCTGAAAGTAGCAGACAGAGATTTCCAGGGAGCATTAGATTAGTAAAATAATGAAGTAATATTACAGAAACACTGACACTGAAAGCAGAAAACACTGACTCTGAAAGCAGAAGATAGAGATATTCAGTGAGCATTAGGTTAGTAAAATAATGAAGTAATATTACTGAAACACTGACTCTGAAAGCAGAAGACAGAGATTTCCAGGGAGCATTAGGTTAGTAAAATAATCAAGTAATATTACTGAAACACTGACTCTGAAAGCAGCAGACAGAGATTTCCAGGGAGCATTAGATTAGTAAAATAATGAAGTAATATTACAGAAACACTGACACTGAAAGCAGAAGACAGAGATTACCAGTGAGCATTAGGTTAGTAAAATAATGAAGTAATATTAGTGAAACACTGACACTGAAAGCGAAGACAGAGATTTCCAGGAAGCATTAGGTTAGTTAAATAATGAAGTAATATTACTGAAACACTGACTCTGAAAGCAGAAGACAGAGATTTCCAGGGAGCATAAGTTAGTAAAATAATTAAGTAATATTACTGAAACACTGACTCTGAAAGCAGAAAACACTGACTCTGAAAACAGAAGACAGAGATATTCAGTGAGCATTAGGTTAGTAAAATAATGAAGTAATATTACTGAAACACTGACTCTGAAAGTTGAAGACAGAGATTTCCATGGAGCATAAGTTAGTAAAATAATTAAGTAATATTACTGAAACACTGACTCTGAAAGCAGAAGACAGAGATTTCCAGGGAGCATTAGATTAGTAAAATAATGAAGTAATATTACAGAAACACTGACACTGAAAGCAGAAAACACTGACTCTGAAAGCAGAAGATAGAGATATTCAGTGAGCATTAGGTTAGTAAAATAATGAAGTAATATTACTGAAACACTGACTCTGAAAGCAGAAGACAGAGATTTCCAGGGAGCATTAGGTTAGTAAAATAATTAAGTAATATTACTGAAACACTGACTCTGAAAGCAGCAGACAGAGATTTCCAGGGAGCATTAGATTAGTAAAATAATGAAGTAATATTACAGAAACACTGACACTGAAAGCAGAAAACAGAGATTACCAGTGAGCATTAGGTTAGTAAAATGATGAAGTAATATTACTGAAACACTGACACTGAAAGCAAAGACAGAGATTTCCAGTGAGCATTAGGTTAGTAAAATAATGAAGTAATATTACTGAAACACTGACTCTGAAAGCAAAGACAGAGATTTCCAGTGAGCATAAGATTAGTAAAATAATGAAGTAATATTACTGAAACACTGACACTGAAAGCAGAAGACAGAGATTACCAGTGAGCATTAGGTTAGTAAAATAATGAAGTAATATTACTGAAACACTGACTCTGAAAGCAGAAGACAGAGATTTCCAGGGAGCATTAGGTTAGTAAAATAATGAAGTAATATTACTGAAACACTGACTCTGAAAGCAGCAGACAGAGATTTCCAGGGAGCATTAATTTAGTAAAATAATGAAGTAATATTACAGAAACACTGACACTGAAAGCAGAAGACAGAGATTACCAGTGAGCATTAGGTTAGTAAAATAATGAAGTAATATTACTGAAACACTGACACTGAAAGCGAAGACAGAGATAACCAGTGAGCATTAGGTTAGTAAAATAATGAAGTAATATTACTGAAACACTGACACTGAAAGCGAAGACAGAGATTTCCAGGAAGCATTAGGTTAGTTAAATAATGAAGTAATATTACAGAAACACTGACACTGAAAGCAGAAGACAGAGATTTCCAGGGAGCATTAGATTAGTAAAATAATGAAGTAATATTACAGAAACACTGACACTGAAAGCAGAGACAGAGATTACCAGTGAGCATTAGGTTAGTAAAATAATGAAGTAATATAAATGATACACTGACTCTGAAAGCAGCAGACAGAGATATCCAGGGAGCATTGAGCTAGTAAAATAATGAAGTAATTTTACAGATACGCTGACTCTACTTTACAGTATAATAATAATCAGAAAGAGAGATTTTTCTCCTCAAAATTTCGAGATTTGACTGCTCTTATCAGGAGATAATCTTCTGAGAGCTCATGATTATAAAATTTAAAAAAAATACAGGGAAGTTTTCACTGACATCTGGAGAGTTGAAAACATATGTTTTTAATTTGTGTGCAGAAGACTGAAACTTTGGAAAACAGGATTGATAGTCTCTGTTTGGTATTGTAGTCTCTTGTAAAAGGAAGTTGAAATTTGATTGGGAAAAGGCAAAATTGTGCAAACAAAGTTGGGTATTTGCAATTTGAAATGAGTCAGAATATTTGACCCTAAAAATGCTAGGAAAATCCTTGCTGTCAAGATTTTCCTTTGATTAGTCTAATTTCATTCTTTCTGGTCTTACAACAATTTTTCTAAAAGTCTCAATTATTAACTATAATTAGAAAATATTGTCCTGTTCAAAAAATATCTCTATTAAACACCTTTTGTACAGGTAACAGCATGCTTAAAAAAATTCAAGGAACTACCCAGTGTTGAAAAGAAAATGGTATAAATCACAATAAAACATATGATTCTGAATTCCAAGCACATTGCATTACTTATAGGTTTAAAGTTTCTATTGAGAACGATTTGCCATATATTTTACTGCTGAGCTACCAATTTAAAGAAGTAGGGGCACTGTCAAAGAGGTCCAATTTGCCCAAATATTAGTGCAAATTAAAAAAATATCATGCATATTCTTAAATTTGTCCTAACTTTACTAAGGTACATTCATACATGTGATGGACTGTGAAACTCAGATCAGGAGATTGGGAAATTTTGGTCAGGAGATTAGGACTCAGATCAGGAGGTTTTTAATCGACATAAATTTTGTCGTAAATGTAACCGTGTGCTGTAGAAATTGTCTTTTAAAGTGTTTTTTCTTCAACTTTCCATCTGAATGTATTATATTTATAGTACCCTTGTACTTATAAATTTTCTCTATCTTTATTCAACATGTTCAATCTAACATTCTTTTTTTTTTTTAGTATGTTCTTTAAATTCTTTAATTTACATCTTTTTTATCATTATTCCTTAGAACAATCACTGCAATCAGAACATTTGTTTAACTATCTGCAAAGAGGTTTTTTTTGCATGTTAAAAAGCATTTTCAAAGATATTACAAGGGTCATAGTTATTATATAAATTTCAATTTAAGCCTTGAAAGGAAGTATAGAACCCTCAAATAATTTTCAAATTATTATTTTTTTATTTGTCTTAAAACATTTAAAATCATTTAATTACCATCCTTTTATGATCATTTGTTCAATTTATATTTTATTTATATTCTTTTAAAAATTTACATTATTTAAAGGAAAGTAACTTAAAACAGGATAAATCAAGGGAAGTAACCCAAAAATTCATTTCAATTATTTAAATACACAAAGTTTTTATTACACAATGGCAATTAGCCTGAGGTAAAAATAGTTGATTACCAGTATGTTTGACACCCAAGCTGACAAGTGAAGCCATATAATTATGCATGTTAATTGATTTACAGGTAAAATATAACTTCAGGTAATGTCAGTTACACCAGATATGTTGGGCTGAAATTTTTATACGACCGCAAAAAAATTTTTGTGGTCGTATATTGGTATGACGTTGGCGTCCTCGTTGTCGTCATCCGGCGTCGTAGTCATCGTCCGAAAACACATTAGTTTTCGCACTCTAACTTTAGTTTAAGTAAATGTATCTCAATGAAATTTTACCATAAGGTTCAATACCACAAAAGGAAGGTGGGGATTGATTTTGGGGGTTATGGTACCCACAGTTAAGGAATTAGGGGCCAAAAAGGGGCCAAAAATAAGCATTTTTGTAACTTCCAGACATAACTTGTGTGTAAGTGTATGGATCTCTGACATTGTACCACAAGGTTCCATATCACAAAGGGAATGCTGGGATTGATTTTGGGGGTAATTGCCTCCAAATTTTAGGAATTAGGGGCCAAAAAGGGGCAAAAAACAGGCATTTTTCTAGTTTCATGACAATAACTTGTGTGTAAGTGTATGGATCTTTATGAAATTGTACTACAAGGTTCCATATCTCAAAGGGAAAGCTGGAATTGAGTTTGGGGGTAATTGCCCAAAAGTTTAGGAATAAAGGGCCAAAAAGGGGCCAAAATTAGCATTTTTCTAGTTTCCAGACAATAACATGTGTTCAAATGTATGGATCTCTCTGAAATTGTACTGCAAGGTACCATACCACAAAAGGAAGGCTGGGATTGATTTTTGGGGTAATTCCCTCAAAATTTTAGTAATTAGGGGCCATAAAAGGGCAAAAAAACAAGCATTTTTCTAGTTTCAGGACAATAACTTGTGTGTAAGTGTATGGATCTTTATGAAATTGTACTGCAAGGTTACATATCACAAAGGGAAAGCTGGGTTTGAGTTTGGGGGTAATTGCCCTAAACGTTTAGGAATTTGGGGCCAAAAAGGGGCCAAAAAACAAGCATTTTTCTAGTTTCCAGACAATAACTTGTGTTCAAGTGTATGGATCTCTCTGAAATTGTACTGCAAGGTACCATACCACAAAGGGAAAGCTGGGATTGAGTTTGGGGGTGATGAATCATAAGGGGGTTCAAAAAATTGGGGGGGATTTTTTTTTCCTTTTTTTTCTTTAAAATTTTCCATTTTAAATTGGTTATTTCTGATTTATATATAAAAGCAAATAATAATGATATGGTTTGAATAGGTAAATTAAAAATTTTTAAGTTCTTAGACCACTTTCATTCTGTTTGAGAAACCTATGCTGTGTCAAATATTTAATTACAATCCAAATTCAGTGCTGTATCAAGCTTGAATGTTGTATCCATACTTGCCCCAACTGTTCAGGGTTCGACCTCTGCGGTAGTATCAAGCTGCGCCCCAGCGGAGCATTTTATTCATTCATGAAATATTTCATACACAGGATTTTTTTCTCTTCAACGGGAGGTCGGGAGGAGTCCCCTGAAAACAGGATTATTGTACTCCTGTCGGGAGGTTCACATGTATATACATTGAAGGTGTTTTGAAAATAAAAACTGATTCACTATAAAACAAGTTTCTAAAAAAAAAAAAGATTGTATTTTATAGAATTTCTTGATTTTCCTTGTTTTTTTTTTATCAATTTTTCAGTATTCTTTGGATTGTAAAAGTATTATTGGCACCCAAGAAACAACTTTATATTTGTGTGATTATTTAGATAACTAGACTAAAGTTTCTCTAAAATTATTTTATTGTTTCTTGGCTGCTCACAATGTTTCCTCAAAGGAAATGCGGATGGAAAACTGCAAAAAGCACTTTCTTTGTTTTCATGAAAAAGAAGACCATATTATGCATTATTTTGACTTCATAACATTAAAAAATGTCCTTCTTTTTCATGTTTAAAATGCTTCAATGAACACATTTAAGTCAAGCATGTGATGTTGATGAAAGATCTTTGATAGTCTTGATTATTCACAAATTTTCCAGATCATGGGCTATTTAGAGCGTGACATACGACTATGAAGACACTTTGTTGACTGTTTGTTTTTTTTTTTGTGTTAGCTTGGTTGCTGTCTCTCATTGACATATACCCCACATTACATTTTATTCCTACTCTTTTTTTAAGGCTTTTGATCCACACTTAAATCTTATCAAATACTTTAAAATTGATATTTGCTACTTCTCAGCTCAGCATGCAGCACTTAGAAGTAAGATCAAAGAGAAGTAAAGTGACGGGAAAAAGTTTTGTGCATAAATCCATTACTGTAACTGTCACATGAATTTTAGAATATGAAATATTATAATTGTTAAAGTAAAATATCTGTAATAATATTACAGCAGAAAGCCAGGGAGAAGAGGTGATGTTGAGGTCAATGATCAGTGTTGACAGCAGTCAAACTGTGGTGCCTGATGTGACCACACCTATAGAACAACCCACTGATCCAGAATTGTTACAAACTGTTGAGGAAGTTGCTAAAGCCATACTTGATTTTATGGAAATAAGGTAGAGTTGTTAATATTGTAAATATAGTAGTCACCCGAAGGGTCAAATGAGCCTGTCCTATCACTTGGCATTGCTCGTCTGTAGTTGCCCATTAATTTTTATACAAAATTTCTCCTCTAAAACTTATATAGATATAAGAAGATGTGGTATGAGTGCCAATGAGACAACTCTCCATCCAAGTCAAAATTTATAAAAGTAAACCATTATAGGTCAAAGTAAGGTCTTCAACACAGTGCCTTGGCTCACACCGAACATCATTATTTTGACTGCCAATTGGAACCAAACTTTGCCATAATCCTCATTTGGGTATCTAGGTTAAAAGATTTGTGTGTGATTAGCCCGCCTGCCATCCAACATGTCCGACATGGCTAAAAATAGAACATGAGGGGAAAATGCTATTTCAGTTTATTATCTTGATAACCCCTACAGGTATAGAAAATCTGACAGAGCAAAACTTTTGAGATTTACCTACTGTCAGTTTACATCAAAACTGTCAGAACACTTTTTATACGTCTATTAACAGGACGTATTATGGTATACCATTGTCCATCCGTCCGCCCATCTGTCCGTCCGTCTGTCGTCAACATTTTGGACAGTTACTCAAAAAGCTTTCACCAATTTTCATGAAACTTTGGTGAATTGTTTATATCTATTGACGTAAGCTCCATTTCAATTTTTATAAATTTTAGATTTTACGTTTCCGAGTTGTGGGATTTTGTTGTTATAGGATTTTATAGGATTTTATTTTCATAAAAAAATGGGGGATTATCCAGTTTTCTGACTATAACACAAATATGCTTTGAGCAATTTTCATGAAACTTTAATGAAGTGTTTATATATACGGACATAAGTTCCCTTTCGATTTTTGAAAATTTCTGATTTCACATATTGGATTTTTGTGACTTTATTCATATAAAAGGGGTGATTTTCCAGTTTTCAGACCATAACTCAAAAACGCTTCAAGCAGTTTTAATTAAACTTTGGTGACTTGTTTATATTTATTGAAATAAGCTCCCTTTTAATTTTTTAAATTACTGATATGAAATTGCGCAGTTATGGAACTGTATTTGTTGAAAAATAGTCGAAAACTGTATGTTTTTCACACTTTGAACAGTTAAAGAATTCTATTCTTTTAAAAATCAAGGCCACAAACTTAGTTAAACTTGAGGTAGCTCACAGTATTTCTAGTTAATCATATCAATTCATTTAAAGCATAAAGACGAGCTAAAGAGGGCATCATGTCACAGCTCTTTATTGCCCCCCGCGCAACGCATTGATGGGGACATAGAAATACCAGGACTCCGTCCATCCGTCCATCCATCCGGTCTTGTTAGCGCTCTCACATGTACAATTCTTGCCAGATTTTTATGAAACTTAAATCATAGATTTATATCAGCAATGTCTTGGACAAGTTTGAAAATCAGTGCCGATCAATTATTTTTAAAAGAGTTATGCCCCTTAGAAACATTAAATATATGGAAAACTGCATCGTTAGCGCTTTCATGTGTACAATTCTTGCCAGATTTTTATGAAACTTATATTATAGGTTTATATCAGCAATGTCTTTGACAAATTCGAAAATCAGTGCTGATCAATTATTTTTAAAGGAGTTATGTCTCTTTGAAACATTTGTTATATGGAAAATTACATTTTTAGGGCTCTCATGTGTACAATTCTTGCCAGAATTTTATGAAACTTAAATCATAGGTTTATATTAGCAATGTCTTTGATGAGTTCCAAATCAATGCCTATCAATAATTTTTAAAAGAGTTATGCCCCTTGGAATTATTAATTATATGGAAAATTACCTTATAAGCGCTCTAATGTGTACAATTCTTGCCAGATTTTTATGAAATTCATATTATAGGTTTATATCATCAATGTCTTTGACGAGTTCAAAAATCAGTGGCGATAAATTATTTTTAAAAGAGTTATGCCCCTTGGAAATATTGATTATATGGAAAATTGCATTGTCAGAGCTCTCATGTGTACAATTATTGTCAGAATTTTTTGAAACTTATATAATAGGTTTATATCAGCAATGTCTTTCACACTTTCGAAAATAAGAGCTGATCAAATATTTTTAACGAGTTATGCCCCTTGTAAATATTAATTATAATGGAAATCACACTGCATTTGCTCTGAAGCCTTCATTTCTCTAAGATATTAAGAAAAAGTTTTAAAGAACGAAAAAAAAGTGGGAGTATGTCGTGGGTAGTTAATAAAGAATAAGGAGATATGGTATGATTGCTAATGAGACAACTATGCACCAAAGTTCAAATAAAGTCAAGGTTGTTAAATACCCCTTAGTAGAAGTAGTACAAGTGTCCAGTTAACATTTTGCTGCAGTAAATTAGTGCTAACATATTTGAATATAAAATAAATAAATGTTTGGTCAAATTGACACGAATGGCCCTGCTCTCAAAAAAATTGAAGCCATTTTTAGAAGTGGAAATTTTCAAAGTGCAACGCCCATAATTTTGGTAAAAATCTAAAGGAGCGGAACCAAACATAAACTCAATCTGTAACTTACCGTAGTAGACTCACATACTAAAAATCAGCTCAATATGGGAAGGTGTTTAGAAAAAAAGTCTGTATAACTGTTTCAGTCCAAAGCCCTGTCACATGTATGATTTACCATGTTTTGCAATTTTGTCTGTTATCTTGAAAACTATAATAGACAAATAAAACTTTACAAGGACAAATTTTGTCACTTCAATGTAAGGGAATGATCAGTTATGCTTCAGTATACATGTTGACTCAATCAATTAATATTGCATGCATCGATGCAGGTCCATGAAATAGCTAGGTCACACTTTGAATTAGTATTACTAATTTAGTAAACCAAAATATTGCAAGGTTGTTGATTGCTTTATATTAATAGGATTATGGTATTTCTTATATACCAGATGGGAAGTGCTGTCCTGTCCATTTTTTATACTCAGAGAAGAGAGTTTTCACTAGTTCAAATGCCACATCTATCATTTATGAAGTAGATTTTTAGTTACAACCTTTTTCGGACTAATGGGGTGTCAGACAAATTGGAGTGTCAGGCTAATGGGGTGTAAGAATAGCAGGTCAACCCTGTCTAAATAAAGCATTCCATAGTATGCTAATGCTCCCTTTTTATGCCATAGTTTTGCTAAATGCAAATCCTTTAAGACGAGTCAGTCAACTTCAGAGATTCAGAGATAGATATTCAGTCATTTAAGAAAAATTATATGAGGTATTTGTAGTGGTTTGGTATTGTTTAAAGGTTGTCTTTCCATTGTTTATAAGTCTACTGATTGCTTTTAGTTACACTTATCAATACATCAGTCATACAGATAAGATAACATTTATTTCAAATAGAGGACCCATAATGGACAAAATCAACACAATAATTAGATAGATATATACATATCATACACATACAAAAACAAGACAAATTCGAGATAATACAATAACATATACAATATATGGCCAAAAGTAAATTTCAAATACACATTTTTGCTTAATATTTCATATAAAAACAAATTGTTTCAAAAAGATATTTTGAAGGCATTTCTTGTTAGATTGAAACAACGAAGTAAGTAAGTAATGAATACCTGGCCATTCACTGTGCCATAGTTATCAGTGTTTATGGACCATATGCATTATAGAAATAAGGTAAAAGATATATTGAGGAAAAAATATATATAAACTTTCAACTTATCTTAGGGGAAAATAATAATTGAACCAGTAGTTTGGTTTTTATTTTCAGACGAGGTCGCCCACTTTGGAGTTGTGAAGACATTACTCCTCGTACGCTAAATACTCAGAGTGCAGTACAGGTGGAATATTTCCTTAAACTTGTCATCAAATACTTTCAGGAGTTATCTCCTAAAGCTTTTGTAGAACAGAGATGGTCACAGGTGGCACTGCAAGTTGCCTTGTCTTGTTCATCTAGACATTATGCTGGCAGGTCATTTCAGGTTTGTTATCTGTTTGTTATCACTTTTGCCCTTTTCCCTTTTTGAGTTTTCAGAAGTACAGAACCCACCAGGTCAATGTGATATAAATCTAAACCCACCAGGTCAATGTGATATAAGTCTAAACCCACCAGGTCAATGTGATATAAATCTAAACCCACCAGGTCAATGTGATATAAATCTAAACCCACCAGGTCAACATGATATAAGTCTAAACACACCAGGTCAATGTTATATAAGTCTCAACCCACTAGACCAATGTAATCCAAGTCTGAACCTGCAAGGCCAATGTTATACAAAGTCTGAACCCGCAAGGCCAATGTTATACAAGTCTGAACCCACTAGGCCAATTTAATCCAAGTCTGAACCCGCAAGGCCAATGTTATCCAAGTCTGAACACACAAGGCCAATGTTATTCAAGCCTGAACCCACAAGGCTAAAGTGATCCAAGTCTGAACCCACTAGGCCAATGTGTTCCATGTCTGAAACCCACTAGGCCTAATTGTTCCAAGTCTGAACCCACTAGGCCAATTTGATCTAAGTCTGAACCCACTAGGCCAATGTGATCCAAGTCTGAACCCGCAAGGCCAATGTTATTCAAGTCTGAACCCACAAGGCCAATGTGATCCAAAATTTCTTCCTTTTTAAAAGTATTGCTGATAATACTTTATTTCAGCCAATTCAGGGCTTTCTTCTACAAAATACTCATCAGTGGCACACAAATCCAAGCAGTTAGAAGGCCACATCAAATACAAAGTTGAAGAAAATTAAAAACCGAAAAGTATCAAAAAAGTTGTGCCAAATACAGCAAAATAAGTCATCAAAGATAAGATACCAGGCTGATAATTTTGTATACCAGACGGGTATGCAAAGGCAAACTATTCCTTGGGGGTAGAAAACCCTAAGGGTTTCAAATGATTCAACATTTTATAAATATTCAATTTACAGAAAATTAACCTATCAGTGATACTTTATGTCATCACAAAAGTACTGACTACTGGGCTTGTGAAATCCTCATGAAAGAAACATTCACCAGCAGTGGCATCCACCCAGTGGTTGTAAATACTTATCAAAGATACCAGGCTAGCCTAGTAATTTAATCACTTTCTTAGTTAAGCAGTGTGGGGGGAAATTATTACTTTGTTCTTTGTTCTTCTCTCAGAATTTATATATCTGGTGAGCCTACCATCTAACCAATATGTTTGTCATAACTTTCAATAAGAATCATGTCTGGTGACCCCTACAATCTAACCAATGTGTTTGTCATAACTATCAATAAGAATCATGTCTGGTGACCCCTACCATCCAACCAATGTGTTTGTCATAACTATCAATAAGAATCATGTCTGGTGACCCCAACCTTCTAACCAATGTGTGTGTCATAACTATCAATAATAATCATGTCTGGTGACCCCCTACCATCCAAACAAATGTTTGTCATAACTATCAATAAGATTCATGTCTGGTGAGCCCTACCATCCAACCAATATGTTGGTCATAACTATCAATAAGAATCATGTCTGGTGACCCCTACCTTCCAACCAATGTGTTGGTCATAACTATCAAAAAGAATCATGTCTGGTGAGCCCTACCATCCAACCAATATGTTGGTCATAACTATCAATAAGAATGATGTCTGGTGACCCCTACCTTCCAACCAATGTGTTTGTCATAACTATCAATAAGAATCATGTCTGGTGACCCATACCTTCCAACCAATGTGTTTGTCGTAACTTTCAATAAGAATCATGTCTGGTGACCCCTACCTTCCAACCAATATGTTGGTCATAACTATCAATAATAACCATGTCTGGTGACCCCTACCATCCAACCAATATGTTGGTCATAACTATCAATAAGAATCATGTCTGGTGACCCCTACCTTCCAACCAATGTGTTGGTCATAACTATCAATAAGAATCATGTCTGGAGAGCCCTACCATCCAACCAATATGTTGGTCATAACTATCAATAAGAATGATGTCTGGTGACCCCTACCTTCCAACCAATGTGTTTGTCATAACTATCAATAAGAATCATGTCTGGTGACCCCTACCTTCCAACCAATGTGTTTGTCGTAACTATCAATAAGAATCATGTCTGGTGACCCCTACCTTCCAACCAATATGTTGGTCATAACTATCAATAATAACCATGTCTGGTGACCCCTACCATCCAACCAATATGTTGGTCATAACTATCAATAAGAATCATGTCTGGTGAGCCCTACCTGCCAAGCAATGAGTTTGTCGTAATTATCAATAAGAACCATGTCTGGTGACCCCTACCTTCCAACCAATATGTTGGTCATAACTATCAATAAGAATGATGTCTGGTGACCCCTATCTTCCAACCAATGTGTTTGTCATAACTATCAATAAGAATCATGTCTGGTGACCCCTACCTTCCAACCAATGTGTTTGTCGTAACTATCAATAAGAATCATGTCTGGTGACCCCTACCTTCCAACCAATATGTTGGTCATAACTATCAATAATAACCATGTCTGGTGACCCCTACCATCCAACCAATATGTTGGTCAAAACTATCAATAAGAATCATGTCTGGTGAGCCCTACCTGCCAACCAATGAGTTTGTCATAATTATCAATAAGAACCATGTCTGGTGACCCCTACCTTCCAACCAATATGTTGGTTATAACTATCAATAAGAACCATATATGGTGACCCCTACCATCTAACCAATGAGTTTGTCATAACTATCAATAAGAACCATGTATGGTGACCCCTACAATCCAAACAAATTTTTGTCATAACTATCAATAAGAATCATGTCTGGTGACACTTACCTTCGAACCAATGAGTTTGTCATAACTATCAACAAGAACCATGTCTGGTGACCACTACCATCTGATCAATGAGTTTGTCATAACTTTCAATAAGAACCATGTCTGGTGACCCCTGCCTTCCAACCAATGTGTGTGTCATAAATATCAATAAGAATCATGTCTGGTGACCCCTACCATCCAAACAAATTTTTGTCATAACTATCAATAAGAACCATGTCTGGTGAGCCCTACCATCTAACCAATGAGTTTGTCAAAACTATCTATAAGAATCATGTCTGGTGACCTGTATCTCCAACCAATGAGTTTGTCATAACTATCAATAAGAACCATGTCTGGTGAGCCCTACCATCCGAACAAATTTTTGTGATAACTATCAATAAGAATCTTGCCTGGTGACCCCTACCTTCCAACCAATGTGTGTGTCATAACTATCAATAATAATCATGTCTTGTGACCCCTACCATCCAAACAAATGTTGGTCATAACTATCAATAAGAATGATGTCTGGTGACCCCTACCTTCCAACCAATGTGTTTGTCATAACTATCAATAAGAATCATGTCTGGTGACCCATACCTTCCAACCAATGTGTTTGTCGTAACTTTCAATAAGAATCATGTCTGGTGACCCCTACCTTCCAACCAATATGTTGGTCATAACTATCAATAATAACCATGTCTGGTGACCCCTACCATCCAACCAATATGTTGGTCATAACTATCTATAAGAATCATGTCTGGTGACCCCTACCTTCCAACCAATGTGTTGGTCATAACTATCAATAAGAATCATGTCTGGAGAGCCCTACCATCCAACCAATATGTTGGTCATAACTATCAATAAGAATGATGTCTGGTGACCCCTACCTTCCAACCAATGTGTTTGTCATAACTATCAATAAGAATCATGTCTGGTGACCCCTACCTTCCAACCAATGTGTTTGTCGTAACTATCAATAAGAATCATGTCTGGTGACCCCTACCTTCCAACCAATATGTTGGTCATAACTATCAATAATAACCATGTCTGGTGACCCCTACCATCCAACCAATATGTTGGTCATAACTATCAATAAGAATCATGTCTGGTGAGCCCTACCTGCCAAGCAATGAGTTTGTCGTAATTATCAATAAGAACCATGTCTGGTGACCCCTACCTTCCAACCAATATGTTGGTCATAACTATCAATAAGAATGATGTCTGGTGACCCCTATCTTCCAACCAATGTGTTTGTCATAACTATCAATAAGAATCATGTCTGGTGACCCCTACCTTCCAACCAATGTGTTTGTCGTAACTATCAATAAGAATCATGTCTGGTGACCCCTACCTTCCAACCAATATGTTGGTCATAACTATCAATAATAACCATGTCTGGTGACCCCTACCATCCAACCAATATGTTGGTCAAAACTATCAATAAGAATCATGTCTGGTGAGCCCTACCTGCCAACCAATGAGTTTGTCATAATTATCAATAAGAACCATGTCTGGTGACCCCTACCTTCCAACCAATATGTTGGTCATAACTATCAATAAGAACCATATATGGTGACCCCTACCATCTAACCAATGAGTTTGTCAAAACTATCTATAAGAATCATGTCTGGTGACCTGTATCTCCAACCAATGAGTTTGTCATAACTATCAATAAGAACCATGTCTGGTAAGCCCTACCTTCCAAACAAATGTTTGTGATAACTATCAATATGAATCTTGCCTGATGACCCCTACCTTCCAACTAATGTGTGTGTCATACCTATCAATAATAATCATGTCTGGTGACCCCTACCATCCAAACAAATGTTTGATATAACTATCAATAAGAGTAATATCTGGTGAGCCCTACCATCCATCCAATATGTTGGTCATAACTATCAATAAGAATCATGTCTGGTGACCCCTACCTTCCAACCAATGTGTGTGTCATAACTATCAATAAGAATCATGTCTGGTGACCCCTAACTTCCGACCAATGTGTGTGTCATAACTATCAATAAGAATCATGTCTGGTGACCCCTACCTTCCAACCAATGTGTTTGTCGTAACTATCAATAAAAATCATGTCTGGTGACCCCTACCTTCCAACCAATATGTTGGTCATAACTATCAATAATAACCATGTCTGGTGACCCCTACCATCCAACCAATATGTTGGTCATAACTATCAATAAGAATCATGTCTGGTGAGCCCTACCTGCCAACCAATGAGTTTGTCATAATTATTAATAAGAACCATGTCTGGTGACCCCTACCTTCCAACCAATATGTTGGTCATAACTATCAATAAGAACCATATATGGTGACCCCTACCATCTAACCAATATGTTGGTCATAACTATCAATAAGAATGATGTCTGGTGACCCTTACCTTCCAACCAATGTGTGTGTCATAACTATCAATAAGAACCATGCCTGTTGACCCCTACCATCAATTAATGAGTTTGTCATAACTATCAATAAGAACCATGTCTGGTGACCCCTACCTTCCAGCCAATGAGTGTGTCATAACTATCAATAAGAACCATGTCTGGTGACCCCCCTACCTTCCAACCAATGTGTGTGTCATGACTATCAATAAGTACCATGTCTGGTGACCCCTACCATCCAAACAAATGTTTGTCACTACTATCAATAAGAATCTTGTCTGGTGACCCCTAACTTCCAACCAATGTGTGTGTCATAACTATCAATAAGAACCATGTCTTGTGACCCCTACCTTCCAACCAATGTGTGTGTCATAACTATCAATAAGAACCATGTCTGGTGAGCCCTACCATCCAACCAATATGTTGGTCATAACTATCAATAAGAATCAAGTCTGGTGACCCCTACCTTCCAACCAATGAGTTTGTCATAACTATCAATAAGAATCATGTCTGGTGACCCCTAACTTCCAACCAATGTGTTTGTTATAACTATCAATAAGAATCATGTCTGGTGACCCCTACCTTCCAACCAATATGTTGGTCATAACTATCAATTAAATTCATGTCTGGTGACCCCTACCATCTAACCAATGAGTTTGTCATAACTATCAATAAGAATCATGTCTGCTGACCCCTACCTTCCAACCAATGAGTTTGGCATAACTATCAATAAGAATCATGTCTGATGACCCCTACCTTCCAACCAATGTGTTTGTCATACTATCAATAAGAATCATGTCTGGAGACCCTTACCTTCCAACCAATATGTTGGTCATAACTTTCAATAAAATTCATGTCTGGTGACCCCTACCATCCAACCAATATGTGTGTCATAACTATCACTAAGAATCATGTCTGGTGACCCCTACCTTCCAACCAATGTGTTTGTCATAACTATCAATAAGAATCATGTCTGGTGACCCCTACCTTCCAACCAATATTTTGGTCATAACTATCAATAAGAATCATGTCTGGTGACCCCTACCTTCCAACCAATATGTGTGTCATAACTATCAATAAGAATCATATCTGGTGACCCCTACCTTCCAACCAATATGTTGGTCATAACTATCAATAAGAATCATGTCTGGTGAGCCCTACCATCTAACCAATGAGTTTGTCATAACTATCAATAAGAATCATGTCTGGTGAACCCTACCTTCCAACCAATGAGTTTGTCATAACTATCAATAAGAATCATGTCTGGTGAGCCCTACCTTCCAGCCAATGTGTTTGTCATAACTATCAATAAGAATCATGTCTGGTGAACCCTACCTTCCAACCAATGAGTTTGTCATAACTATCAATAAGAATCAAGTCTGGTGACCCCTACCTTCCAGCCAATGTGTTTGTCATAACTATCAATAAGAATCATGTCTGGTGACCCCTACCTTCCAGCCAATGTGTTTGTCATAACTATCAATAAGAATCATGTCTGCTGACCCCTACCTTCCAACCAATGAGTTTTTCATAACTATCAATAAGAATCATGTCTGGTGACCCCTACCTTCCAACCAATATGTTGGTCATAACTATCAATAAGAATCATGTCTGGTGACCCCTACTATCTAACCAATGAGTTTGTCAAAACTATCTATAAGAACCATGTCTGGTGACCCCTACAATCCAACCAATATGTTTGTCATAACAATCAATTAAATTCATGTTTGGTGACCCCTACCTTCGAGTATACTTAAAAATCTTCTCTGAAAACAAGAATAAATGTAACCTAACTATGCCAAAATTATCCAACAGTAGTCTTGTTTCAAAATTTTGTAATTTTTCAAAAGTGTAAGAATTTTGTGAGGAGAGGAGATATTTTCAGTTGATGATATGAAGCAATTCGAAATTAAATGGAAAAAAAAACACAAATAGGATGTTTTTATGATCAGTTGTTCACAGATTTAAATTATGTGTGTACAGGTAGTCAATTGCATGATTTGTCAGTTGTATACAATATTTGTAGATATTAAGAGCATTGAAAATCCGACCTTCAACACAGATGTTGGCTGACATTCTATCACGTCTTGTAGAGACTGTAGCTGAACAGGGAGATGATATGCAGGTATGCACAAATTCATTCATCAGTTATTTTCCTTGATATGATTATTTGTTTGATATATATTTTCATATATTTTAGGGTTCATCAAACTATGGAATTTATTATCCAATGAAATATACTTTTTCCATTGATTTCTGCTGTGCAGACTAAAATCAATCCTTGAAAGCATTTGATCTATTGATTTGTCTCAGTTTTAGCTCACCTTGCCCACAGGGCCAAGTGAGCTTTTCTCATCACTTGGCGTTTCGTCTTCATCCGTCATTAACTTTTACAAAAATCTTCTCCTCTGAAACTGCTGGGCGAAATGTAGGTGTTAAATGTTAAGAATGTTGAGCTCTACCTCTTGTTATTTTAGGTCAAAACTGTCAGACGACTTCTTTGAAGCAAAAATGATCAGCAAGACAAGATCTACAAAAAAGTCCACATGACCAAAATTGTTAGACGACTCCTACAGTTATTGCCCTTTAATGAAAATATTTACCAATTGTTTGCGTTATTGCCTAATATCTTAAAAACTATAATAGAAAAATAGATAGAAACAATAAAAGCAAAAATGATCAACAAGACAAGATCTACAAGGATTTTTTTTCCAATTTTTGTTGAGCCTGCGACTTTTGTCGCAGAAAGCTCGAAATAGGGATAGTGATCCGGCTGCGGCGGCGGCGGCGGCGTTAGCTAACTTCTTAAAAGCTTTATATTTTAGAAGGTGGAAGACCTGGATGCTTCATACTTTGTATATGGATGCCTCATGTTACGAAGTTTCCGTCGGTCACATGTCCAATGTCCTTGACCTCATTTTCATGGTTCAGTGACTACTTGAAAAAAAAGTTAACATTTTTTGTAATGTTAAATTCTCTCTTATTATAAGTAGCAGGATAACTATATTTGGTATGTGCGTACCTTGCAAGGTCCTCATGCCCGTCAGACAGTTTTCACTTGACCTCGACCTCATTTCATGGATCAGTGAACAAGGTTAAGTTTTGGTGGTCAAGTCCATATCTCAGATACTATAAGCAATAGGTCTAGTATATTCGGTGTATGGAAGGACTGTAAGGTGTACATGTCCAACTGGCAGGTGTCATTTGACCTTGACCTCATTTTCATGGTTCAGTGGTTATAGTTAAGTTTTTGTGTTTTGGTCTGTTTTTCTTATACTGTATGCAATAGGTCTACTATATTTGGTGTAGGGAATGATTGTAAGGTGTACATGTCTAGCTGGCAGGTGTCATCTGACCTTGACCTCGTTTTCATGGTTCAGTGGTCAAAGTTAAGTTTTTGAGTTTTGGCCTTTTTTTCTAATACTATATGCAATAGGTCAACTATATTTGGTGTATGGAAATATTTTATGATCTATATGTCAGTCGTGCAGGTTTTATATGACCTTGACCTCATTTTCACGGTTCATTGCTCAGTGTTAAGTTTTTGTGTTTTGGTCTGTTTTTCTTAAACTATAAGCAATAGGTCAACTATATTTGTTATATGGAGAATTGTTAAACTGTACATGTCTGCCTGGCATGGTTCATCTGACCTTGACCTCATTTTCATGGTTCATTGGTCAATGTTTAGTTTTCTTGGTTAATGTTAAGTTTATGTGACAGTTGTAATAAAGCTTTATATTTAGGACTATCAACATAATATCAATGATTAGTAAAGAAGGCGAGACATTTCAGCGTGTGCACTCTTGTTAAGGGGTTCATATTTTTTTTTTCAAAATTTTTCAAATTTCAAATTTTTGAAAAGTTTCAAGAAGAAATCTTCCATTGCACACTGACAGTATTTAGTAATATATTTTTATTTTTTGCGGTCGTATATTGGTATCACGTCGTCGTCAGCGTTGTCCGAAGACAGTTGGTTTCCGGACAATAACTTTAGTATTAGTAAAAAGAAATCTATGAAATTTGAACACAAGGTTTATAACCACAAAAGGAAGGTTGGGATTGATTTTGGGGGTTATGGTCCTAACAGTTTAGGCCAAAAGGGGCCCAAATAAGCATTTTTCTAGTTTCCAGACAATAACTTGTGGAACGGTGTATGGATCTCTCTGAAATTATACAACAAGTTTCCATACCACAAAGGGATGGTTAGGATTTGCTTTGGGGGGTTATGGCTCAAACCGTTTAGGAATTAGGGGCAAAAAAGGGGGAAAAACAAGGGTTTCCTGGTTAATGGACAATTACTTAAGACAATTTAAAAGCAGTGTAAGGAAGGTAATCCAAACACAACATTTTGATTACTTCCCTTACACTACTTTTAAATTATGTATAAAGAAATGTTGTATTGTCTTGAGATGATTAGCTGTCAATTTATTTTTAGAAGTTTCTATGAAGGAATATTAATTTTAGCCATGATTATGTATGTCATTTTCTATTTTAAGACTTTTATGATGTATTTAGACGGGTAATTATGGTTACAAACTCCATTGGAAATTTGAATTGAGATTATGACCATATCTTGAGGCAAAGAATTTTTTGGGGGGAAAATAGGGGGAGATGAAAAGAAATTGTGGGGGGTCAATTTTTTATCATTTCAGATTTCAGAAATTAAAAAGAAAAATTCTTCAAATATTATTTTTTTTGCAAAAAAAAGGGGGGGGGGGGGGAGGTCAATACGCAACAGCATAGTGTATTGCACAAAAGCAAAAAAAAAGGGTGGTAATTTTTTTTTTTTTTATTCTCCCGCTGTAGCGGTGGGGGCATTAAGTTTTACCCTTGTCCGTCTCACAATTGGTTTCCGTTCTCTAACTTGAGTTTGCCTCAGCCAAATGTTATAAAACTTATACACAATGCTTATTACCACAAAACACAGATCAAGTTTGAATTTTGGTGGCATCACTTTAACCGTTCTAGATTTATGCCCCTTTATAAATGGAAAAATTGCAAAATTTTTAGTTTCCGTTCTCTAACTAAAGTTTGCCTCTACCAAATGTTATGAAACTTATACACAATACTTATTACCACAAAAAACAGATCAAGTTTAAATTTTGGTGGCATCACTTTAACCGTTCTAGAGTTATGCCGCTTTATAAATGGAAAAATTGCTGAATTTTTAGTTTCTGTTCTCTACTTAAGTTAGCCTCAACCAAATGTTATGAGACTTACACACAATGCTTATTACCACAAAACTCAGATCAAGTTCAAATTTGGGTAGTGTCACTTTTACCGTTCTTCAGTTATGTCCCTTTCTAACCATATGATATGCAAGAGGGAGCATCATCTGTGTCCACATGTGGACACTATCCACATTTATTTTTTGTGGGGGGAGGGGGGGTAATTCGCAACTGCAAAGTGTATTGCACAAAAGCAAAAAATTGAATATAAACTTAAATCATATAACCAATTCTAAGTTCTTTGACTACAGTTATTCTGTGTCAAATATTTAATTACAATCCAAATTCAGACCTGTATCAAGCGCTGATATTGTGTCTATTTTTGCCCCAACTGTTCAGGGTTGGACCTCTGCGGTTGTATCCATCTGCGCTCGGCAAAGCAATTTATTAAGATCTTTGACCACATTTATTTTGTGTCAGAAACTTATATTATGTCAAAAATTTGATCACAACCCAAATTCAAAGTGTCAAGCTTGAATATTGTGTCCAAATTTGCCCCAACTGTTCAGGGTTCAACCTCTGCGGTGGTATCAGGCTGCGCTCAGCGAGCATTTTATTTTGTATTTTTTTACTATTATCTTGAAAATTATAATATAGATAAGTAGAAACTATAGAAAAATTATCAGCAGGATAAGATCTACAAATATGTCAACATGACTGAAATTGTCAGTTAACTCTTAATAGAGTTGTTCCCCGTTAATGATGAATTTTACTAAAAAGTGCCCATTGTTTAAGATGCAGGTTAGCAACACAGACTCTTTAGAGCCTCTAGTTCTTATTATCTAAAATAATAAGCTGTTAAGATGTATTTAGAATACAAACATCAACAAATAAATGTAAATATAACTTCCTAAAAGGCCAGTAATGGTTAAATGATTTTGATCTTCTACTTTCTGATTAACTTCACACTAAAAACGGGAAAAGATACATTTGTACCAAGAGGGACATCATAAACCATAAGTTGTGTAAAAACAGACAATAGCATCTCCATAAAGAAAAAGGACAAAAAACGAGCAAATACACCAAAAAATACACAGAAAATAAAGATTGAGCAGCACAACCACCACAAAATAAACCAGGGTGAACTCATGTGCTTTGGAAAGATAAGAAATGTCTTCTCTACTGGTGCCACCTGTCATGTACTCATTGCATGTACAAAGTTGGTGATAAGTCACATTGGTTAATGTCACAGTCATTAAAAAGAGAACAGGATTGTCGATACAACTAATGAAACTTATTCCTGGACATTTGTAACACAGATTTTTTACAACAATAAACCAGATCATGGTGGCATCTTTAAAAATATTTAAGGGATGACTTTAACTTTACCATTTGAAACCCTTGGTTCAGTTAATAGCTTCCTTGTAAGCAGCTGCTCTTCTTCAAAGAAATCATTACAGAAAAGCACCTTCCCTTGAATACTCTATACAATACGGTGACCTATACTTGTTAATTTCTATTTTTAGCTCACCTGGCCGAATGGGCCAAGTAAGCTTTTCTCATCACTTGTCCTCCGTCGTCGTCTGTTAACTTTTACAAAAATCTTCTACTGGGCCAAATTTAACCAAACTTGGCCACAATCATCATTGGGATATCTAGTTTTAACAAAAGTGTACAATGACCCCGCCTGCCAACCAAGATGGCCGACATGGCTAAAAATAGAACATAGGGTTAAAATGCAAGTTTTGTCTATTATTTTGTAAACCGTTATAAATAGAGAAAATCTGACACGAGCACAAATGTTCAGAATGTTGAGCTCTACCAATTGACCATATACGTCAAAACTGTCAGACGACTTCTAATATGAGTTATTGCCCTTAAATGACAAATTTTACCATTTTTTTTTCAATTTTGCCTATTATCTTGAAAACTATAATAGATAGAGAGAAACTTTAAATTTCACAAATGATCAGTAAGACAAGTTCTACAAATAAGTCTACACATGGTTGAAATCGTCAGTCAACTCCTTATTAGACTTATTGCCCTTTGATGATGATTTTTACCAATTTTTTGAGTTTTTGCCTTATATCTTAAATATGTAAATTATAATAGATAGATAGAAACTTAAATAAACAAAAATGATCAGCAAGACAAGATCTACAATTAAGACAATATGGAGGAAATCGTCTGACAACTCCTTATTGGAGTTATTGGCCTTTAATGATGATTTTTACCATTTTTTTTTAGTTTTGCCTTATATGATAAAAATTATAATGGATAAATAGACACTTTTAATCCCAAAAATTATCAGCAAGGCAAGATTTACTAACAAGTCAAATTTTGCCGATATAGTTAGTAGACTGTCACTCTTTATAGGAGTGATTGCCCTTAAATGAGGATTTTTTTTACCCTCTTTTGTGTTTTGAGCAAAAATTAAAGAAGATAGAGAGAAACTTAACAGACTAAAAGATCAGTAATACAAGATCAACAAAATAGAGATTGTTGTCATGAATTCTATTCTCGTCTACAATGTTGGAGAGAGTCCTTTATTGAATATGCACACATTTTTGTTAAGGGGCCAGCTGAACCCAGCCTCTGGGTGCGGGATTTTCTCGCTGTGTTGAAGACCCATTGGTGGCCTCTGGCTGTTTTCTGCTCTTTGGTCGGGTTGTTGTCTCTTTGACACATTCCCCATTTCCATTCTCAATTTTACATAGACCAAGGTGAACGACACAGGCTCTTTAGAGCCTCTAGTTATATTTACCCATTAAAATTTTGAAAATAACTTTATGAGAAAGTTTAATACTATGATACCATTATGAAGTCTCCCTTAAAACCCTAAACAATGTTTAGAAACTTTGCTCAGATCATATATATTTAATAAGTCAGCCAAACTGAAATAAGGGAGACCTATTGTGTTTGTCCAATTTCTTATTTAGAGTTGCCCAAACTGAAGGTTCAAAAACTCATTGTGATTAGGTATTTCCACCTTTCTAAGATGTGTGAAATATATGCCTTTTTTAGAACTATTTTCCAATTTTAAATGATTTTTCAAAGTATTCCAAGATCCAGACTTTTACAAGTATACAGAATTAGTATTTTCAAGCTACAGGTAGGTTAAGTATTCCAACCAACAGTGCCAGTGCAAAAAGGTGTTTTGATTTTTTTTCTTCACAGGGATATGTTACAGAAATTATGTTGACATTGGAAGCTGCAGTTGATAACCTTGACCTTGAAATAAGGTCATTTGACATCATGAAAGAAATTTTCAAATCAACACCTAATCTTCTGAAGGACCAAAGCAATGAATCTGCTAACAAGAGGTTGTCAGTCTTAGGACCAAGACAAGACGTTCAACAACATTCACGAAGTACAAGTTACTCAGTAACTGGTCCTGCCCATAGAATGAAACCATGTAAATATTAGTTCACAATTATTAGACCTGATCAACCTTGTGATTAACTTGAAATCTCACAGTGAAAATATTGACACTGAGTAACTGACCCTATTAAAAAAAGTTATGGTAATCAGTGTTATTAGCATTGGTGTTTGCTACTTTTTTGACAAAATTTACCCGACTTTTAAATCAAGACATTTCTGAGTATGTCAAAATATTTAAAGGCTAGTTTGGAATATTGTACATCATATGCCTGACACTATCAAAGCAGTATAAAATTTGTAGTAAATGTTTTTACCTGTGTCCTCCTATGGCAAAAGTAGGTCTAGTAACGGTGCAACTTCGTCTTTCATTTTGTCCATCTCTCTGTCTGTCATTCATTCAATCCATCTGTACATTTGTCTGTCAATCTGTCCATCAGTCTTTCCATCCATCCAATAGACCTTGGGTAGAAAACTTTCGTCAGTTTTCATGGCTTTTATGAAGGGAATGATTTTAAATTGGTCTGTGCAGCTTGATAATATTGAGTCCCTGTCTGTAAGCTATTTTAACATCTGCTGTGCAGATACTTCCTGTATGTCGATAGTTTGAAATTTTAAAACTTTCAATGTGCATGGAAATTTTTCATGAAATTTTTCTTGGCTTCTATAGAGCAAATTATTTTATATTTGGTTTGGAGCTTCATAGTGTTGACTTGTAGTGTGTTAACAATTTGTGTATCTGCTGTGCAACAACTTCCTGTTTGTCAATAGTTTGAAATCAATAGCATGCAGCTAAGAAGGTCAACCCTGGTATTGGTCTTGTTCCAAATTCAGATGTTTTGTATGTGGGAATTACTTATTATTGACCAATGACTTAAAGTACATTATAAATTTCCATTTATTACCATTCAATGTGTATTGAGAACTGGTCATTAATGCAGATCTTATACAGAAAAACAGGTCTAATACAGAATTAGTTTGAAGGTATTAGTTTGAAGAATTAACTGGTCTATAATTCAGGATTTAAACTTTCGTTCAAAAATAGAAATGTATATTATGAAATGTGTTAGCTTACAACAAGTTAAAAGTTAGATTTGTTGTTATTTTTCATATGTAGATATGCAACAGTACTAGATATTTAGTTGGTACATTTTTGTCTCGCCTGAGACATAGGGATTGCTTTTCCAGTGACGGCTTCTGCGTCAACAACTGTTAAGATTTCTGCTTAAGGTATAAAACCACTAATTCATAGCCCCATTGCTTTCTATGTTAATTTCTGCAATTTCAAGCATTAATGGCTTCTTTGTCTTAAGTTCAAATAAAGTGGCAGTTATTTCATGTCAAAACTGTACCTTATCCTGACTTGTGCTGAAAAAATCAACATACCTTTAATTGCAAATTAGAGCGTACTGGTTCCCGGAAGTTTGATAGTACAAAAACAGGAACTTCTGATCTGAACAACAGGCCAAATGAGCCCTCCTATAAAAATTTCATATACTTCTTTATTATTCAAATAAAACTTTCAACAAGGGTTCTACAGTGGTCCCAAGTCCCCAAGCTTTCATTTGATACTAAAACTACCCAAATATTTCCACTATTGACAAAGATACAGCTATGCGTAGGAACTATTTTGTTTAAAATATGTACTACTTTCTTGTATGTTCTTTCCGACCGGGCCTGAATTAGTGGTTCTATACCTATAACAGCACCAAACTTGTTATATTGACTTCTGCTTGACTTAATTTCCTTCTATGATCTATTTCTAGCATAGAAAAACACATCAAGCTTTTGTCAAAACACTATATCACTGAATTCAAGCTCAAATTGGACTGGTAGTAGCATATGCGTTAAACAAAGAAAACTACATATGGATACTAATAGTGACAGATATGACACTTTTTCAATTTTTACCAGTTCTGATTTGTTAATATCTACTCAAATAACAGTGTTCTTAACTATATGTCCTAATTTTATCAGAGATTCTTCCTTGAATATAAATACAGTGGTCCAAACATAAAATATAATTGATAATTTTGTCCCCCCTTTTTTCTACATGTTGGAAAAGGAGAGTGTTTTGGTAAAAAACCATACTTTTATGTATAAACATGGATCAACAAGAGCAATTTATGTATCTCCAAGCTAGACAACTTGCTAAAATGGTTATAAAATGCATTTCAAGTGAGATTTTGGAATTCCTATATAAGTACACACCAATTTTCCTTGAAATAAATAATTCACTAAGAAACACAATAAAACATGAACACTCACTAGATAATTTGACCAAAAACAATATTTATACTGAAAACTAGTCATGATATACAAGTCTCATTGGTTTCAGTGTTAGATAATCCAAAAATTAAAATTTCAGGTAAAATCTTAAATGTGTGCATGCTAAATGACCAAAAAAGGCTAAAATACCTTATTGTAGCATTTTGAGGGTTGTAATTTGACACTCACATAATTGTTACATAAAAAAAATAATGTAACATGATTTCTGACAAAAAATGTGACCAATTTTCACTGTAAAGGGTATGATTTTTAAAAATAGAATTTCACATGCCGGTCAGTAAAAGGTATAAAACCACTAATTCATAGCCCCATTGCTTTCTATGTTAATTTCTGCAATTTCAAGCATTAATGGCTTCTTTGTCTTAAGTTCAAATAAAGTGGCAGTTATTTCATGTCAAAACTGTACCTTATCCTGACTTGTGCTGAAAAAATCAACATACCTTTAATTGCAAATTAGAGCGTACTGGTTCCCGGAAGTTTGATAGTACAAAAACAGGAACTTCTGATCTGAACAACAGGCCAAATGAGCCCTCCTATAAAAATTTCATATACTTCTTTATTATTCAAATAAAACTTTCAACAAGGGTTCTACAGTGGTCCCAAGTCCCCAAGCTTTCATTTGATACTAAAACTACCCAAATATTTCCACTATTGACAAAGATACAGCTATGCGTAGGAACTATTTTGTTTAAAATATGTACTACTTTCTTGTATGTTCTTTCCGACCGGGCCTGAATTAGTGGTTCTATACCTTAAGCCAGTTTGGTAGGATCTACTTGTGATAGATCAATGATATTTTGTATGAAGTCGCATTACTATCAGTACATATCAGTTTGACTACTATTTTGAGGCCCTGCCCACTAGATCATGGTCCAATGACTGAATTAATAAGCAATGTTGCTGTCCATCAGATTGTCTTTTTCTGAATTTTATGCCGATAGATAAAGGCAACAGTAGTATACCGGTGTTCAAAAGTCATAAATCGATTTAGAGAAAACAAATCCGGGTTACAAACCAAAATCGAGGGAAACACATCAACTATAAGAGGAAAACAAAGGAACAACAGGAACACCGAAGTGCAACAAAAACAAATGCCAACACACATAGAAACGAACTATTTGATAACAACTGCCATATTCCTGACTTGGTACAGGACATTCTAAGATAAATTGGTGGGTTGAACCTGGTTTCATGGCATGCCAAACCTCCCGCTTTATGACAATGTTTAAAAATATCGCTAAAACACTACGTGACAGAAATACAGCACAAACACAAGTAAGAACATTCATAACAGAGAAACGCACAAACAAATAATATTATAGTCGACACAACATACAAACCACAGAACAACAACGAACATATTCTCCATCAACAAAAAACACTACAGGATTTCAAAAACAGTAACGCGCTTACGTAACTAACATGCAATCTGGAACTTTATACAATTATTTTCACAATATTGGTCCAAACAATTTTCATGACAATAATGGTATTGAAAGGCATTTTCATAATTATTTTGACTACAAACGATAAGACATAACAGATTATCCAACCTAAACCATAACAGAAACAACAAAATAAATCCATTAATGTTGGATGTACAAAACACCGAGACACACAGCACAGCAATGTAAATTCACATTCAGTATAATAGTCATATTCGGGAATATGACAATGATGGTATTGTACGGCAATTTTATAATTATTTGGACAACAAACGATACGATATAACACATTATTAAACCGAAACCATAACAAAAACACGTCGTATAGCAATGTAAATTCACTCTCGGTATAGCAGTCATATTCGGGATTAGATCAGATTAGGATAGGCGAGACATATCTTTGTGTCAACAGTTTATTTTTGGTAGTTTCTGACAAGTGGAAACATGTAATTGTATATAAATATAAATGTTAATTTAGGGCAAAAACTGAGACAACTGTTACTGATATGGTATTCTGAGACATGATATAAAATTGGATTTGAACAATACAAAAAGAATTAAGAAAATAGGATACAAGTGGTAAGATAAAAAACAAACATTATAGTGCAATGAACGAACAAGCACTTTGTTTAAGTCTCACCACTTCTTCCTATCAGTATCAAAGTCACTTCTCCTTATGATATTGAGGTAGTTAAAATCAATCATCAATAGTCTTTTCTTTATTTGATCAATATAATCTCTTGTCCACTGGACATGGTGTAATATTTTTATATAAGGTTGAATCTAGTATAAATCACTAAACATTCACTGGCAGTAATTGCTTTGAAGCACTCTCACATCTGCTTTCATTTTGGCATAGTAGACAAAAAAATGTAAACAGAAAAAAACGATAAATAATACAAGATCTACAAATTTATTAAGATTGCAGAAATAGTCAGTTGCAATTTAATGATGATTTTCACCCATCTTAAGCATATTTGGAAAAGCTGTAGTAGATAAAAAAAAATTGTAGACATCAAAAATTATCTGCAATACAAGATCAGTTTACTTAGATCTGCAAATATATCAACATAGCCCAAATTGTCATTCAACTTCTTAATATAGGCCTTATTGCCATTAAACGACTATTTTTACCCTTTTATGTGTTGGGCAAAAAAAAAACAGAAGAGAAAATGTAAACAATAAACAATATCAGAAAGACAAGATCTACAAATAGGTGAACAAAGCATAAAAGCAAAAAAGTCCACTTCTTAAAAAGTAATTGCCTGTAAATGGCGATTTTCACCTATTTATTGTATTTTGGGCAAAACAAACTGCAGTAGATGGAGAGAAACTGAAAACACAATGATCAGCAATAGAAGATCTCTAAAAAGAGATTGTAGTCATGAATTATATTCTAGTCTTTAATGTTGGACAGTGACCATTGTTGAAAATGCAAATAGATGCAGGTGAGCAACATAATTTTACTTGTCCTCTGACATTGGGTTCCTGATTGTTCCTGGTATACCAATTTTCACAGATTTCCTGGATATAGGATCCGATGAATTTAAATGATCAATCGACAATGTAGTAAACATTTTCTATAAGCTTTGTATGCAGACTTTGGCAAGACAATGAAATTGAATATTCACGGGTACACTTGTTTTCCTGATTCCAAGAAAATTTTTGCCTATGAAAATAGATAAATCCACAATAATTGTTTTTCGTCTTGAACATGCATGAAATATTTGACTCTGAACATAGGAACTACAGGTGAGGTGAGATCTCTATTATAATTTTGTAAGCCATCAGATTTAAGGATCATTTGTATAAACACTACAGCAGTACTTTAATTGAGATATAGCTTGTGTAAAGCATCTTTACTATAGATTATCAATGGTTTATCAAATGAGAGGATGTTTCTCAGCTACATCTCATAGTAGGGCGACAGGACTGACAAAATATCACTTGAGAAGTTGGATAATGAAAAATTATCACAAAAAAAGATCAGAGCAAAATTTTAGAAAATAACGATAATATGCTGCAAGATCATTTTGTATCTGTTAAAAAATTAAATCAAATTTATCAAAGAACATGAAAAAATATTGACATTTCTATTTAGGATTCCAGTTTTCTCACTTGGTACCAGAAAACCTATTTTCATATGGGCTTATTCTGTTTTTCAGATGATCTGAGATTAAGGAGTAGTACAGATGTAGAAAGTAGATTACGTACAAGTATGACACGATCAAGGAGTGCTCAGTCTTTGAAAAATATGGACCCGTCTGGAAATGAGGATAAATTGACTATTGTATCACAAATGTTCTGGATAGCTGTTTCCATGTTGGAATCTGATTATGAATATGAATTTATTCTAGCTGTAAGACTGCTTGATAAGGTAAGTAAACCAGGGGGAATAACTCTTTGGAGTTTTTTCAGGCTTTTTCATTATAAAGGATTGATTGATTGATGATTGCTTAACATCATTGAAGAACAAATAAGATAAAGAGTTGATTGTCAGCCAAATCTCTTTTTGAAACATTTATTTAATAAAGATTAGGCATTTGTGTTATCCATTTATATGTAGTTCAGTTGTTAACTTTTTCTGGTTTGGAAAATCATTACTTTCATTCATATAAAAAAGGAGATGTGATAAGAATGCCAATGAGACAACTTTCCTACACTGATACAGTATTTGACAATCGATTGGATAGACTTTTATCATCTATTGTTAAGTCAATTGGATTCAATTGTATGCTGCTGTAGGATCAATCAATTATTGTAGGAAAGTACTATCATATGTATTCAATTCACTTAATCTATTCAATCAACCCTTTATTCTTAGAGTTGATTAAGTTGTAATCGTTTAAGAGTTGATCAATTCAATCAACTTTCTCATCTGGTTTTCAAAGGTCATGACCGTATCAATCTTATTCAGTCATTACAATTGTTTGAGAGTTGATCAATTCAATCAACTGTCTCATCTGGCTTTCAAGGGTCATGACCCTATGAATTGTATCTGTCACCAAGGTCCAGAGCACTGTTAGATAAGGGGGAGCTAACTCGTATGTACTTGAACCAAGGGACAGGGGGCCAGTCTATCGCTAGACTTAATGTTCTGATAGGCATAGCTAAAACGCAAGGAAGGTTTTCATAATTTAATAAACGATAACAATTTTGATGAATGATGATAACAATCAATTAGTAAACAATGCCAAATAATAATAATTAAGGTACAAAGTATAAAATCTAAATATCAAATCCAAAGTAAAACTATTTCTCTTTACAATGTAAACAGTGTCTGTTCATTAACATGAAAGCGCTTTGACGAAATGTTTTCAAATTTAGATATGTTGTTTTCTGTGACTAAATGAAAGTCAAGTTCAATTTTCACGATTTTAGCTTTTCTCGTTGTAGAGTTGTAGACCTTTCAATAGCCAAAAATGATACTTATTATATGATTGAGTTATTTCCCTTTGAACAGAAATGGTGTAATTAATAAGTATAAGTATAGATAGTCTATCTATGATTGTATCTGTTCAATTGATTTTAGTCAGGATTTATCAAAAATTTCTTTATAACTATTTTTTATAAGTCATGCATGTTTTGAAGGTAGATGTCACAGTTGTTATGTGGTATTTTATTTTTGTTGTGTGTGTGTTAATGTTTAATTTTAACTTGATCCTGTTTAGGGGTCCAGATTTGCAAATATCATTTTCATTAGGTAATAATCTATTTTTATTAAAGGATATATTTCATTACATTACATTGTGTAGATAAAGTTGTTGACATTGATAGATAAGTTGCAGATCTATATTAGTTTGTGACAAATGAAAGAAAAAATATTGAGAACTATTAATTATATATATAAAGTTTGATTACACTAAGTGTTTTTAAATAATTTTCACCTGTTATCCAGATAACAAAGCATGTGGTAAATATCAATCACACAATTAAAATTGGAGTGACAGATTTATTTTAAAATTTTCTGTTTCCTAAGTGCTGTTGATGATAAGCTCTGTAGGACTGTATAAATATAGTTTGAAATTTACTTTTCATTATTAGACATTTTGAAGATAATTACAGATAAGTTTTATAGATTTTTAAAAGACATTGTATTAATGATAAATGATATTTTTGATTTTTTTTTCTCTTCTTTGATAAATTGTTTGAAGAATTTTGTGGTAGGTTTTTTTTTATTCTGTATAAACTAATTTTCTGAATGCTATATATATATTTTTTTTTTGATGAAGTGAACTCCTTTAAAAACTAAGCTTATATTGTCTATTAATAAACATGTATTTTTTTTAATTTTGGGCCCAGTTTTCAACTTGGTGTAAATCTGGGTCCAAAATTAAACTGTGTTTCATTTCAACGAATATATATAGGGTTCTTTCATATGCTGAATCTAAACCTGTTTTTAAATTTTGGATTTTTGGGCCCAGTTTTCAAGTTGGTCCAAATCAGGGTCCAAAATTAAACTTTGTTTGATTTCAACAAAAATTGAATTTATGGGGTTCTTTGAAATGCTGAATCTAACCATGTATTTAGAGAGTTTGGATTTTGGGCTCCTTTATCAAATTGGTCCACATTGAGGTCCAAAGGGTCTTAAATTAAACTTTTGTTTGATTTCATAAAAATTGAATTCGTGGGGTTCTTTGATAAGCTGATTCTAACAATGAACTTAGATTTTGGATATTGGACCATAATAGGTAAATGTCTAATTTCAAATTTTTCAGTTCTTTGACCACATTCATTTTGTGTCACAAACCTATGCTGTGTCAAATATTCAATCACAATCCAAATTCAGAGCTGTTTTAAGCTTAAATGTTGTGCCCATACTTGCTCAACTGTTCAGGGTTTGACCTCTGCAGGAAAATCTGGTTTGCTGTCACTCTGACAGCCTCTTGATTTTAAATCTCTTGTAAATTTAAGTTTAGAAATATCCAAATCAAATTTTACTGTTTAAATTACATTCATTTAAAGTCAGTTTACTGGGGTGAATTTCTGCAGTAGATGATTCTTCTTTTTTTAATGTAAAAATATCATCGCAGTGAAGTGTTATGTAACAGTACTGTGACATATCTGCTATTAAAGGGATTTCAATTGGAGCCCATTGAATTCATAAAAACTGTCAATGAACTTTATTGCAAAACAAGGTTTTGTGCTTCATGCCAATCTTATGAGACAAGCCATTTCCACCTGATTTTTACAGTTTGTTCTTATGTTGTGCTATTACATAACTGTTTCAGGTGAGGGGAGGGTCGAACACTCAAAATTATGTTTAACACTGCCTCCTATATGTGCCTATCCCAAGTCAAGAGTCTGTACTTTAGTGGTTGTTCTTTGATGCTGTCTCATAAATTTCTTTTTTATACGACCGCAAAAAAAAATTGGTGGTGGGGGGTAAAAATAAATTGGTGATGGGGGGTGGGAGGGGACAATTTTTTCTCCGCAAGATTTCAGAAATCAAAAAGAAAATCCTTCAAATTTTTGGCTCACATGGCCCGATAGGGCCAAGTGAGCTTTTCTAATCACTTGGCGTCCGTCGTCTGTCGTCCGTCGTCGTCGTTATCGTCGTTAACTTTTTACATTTTGAACTTCTTCTAGAGAACCACTAAATGGAATGAAATCAAACATGGCATGAATGTTCCTTATGAGGTGCTGACCAAGTGTTGTTACTTTGAAGCCGATCCATCATCCAAGATGGCCACCAGCTGGGGACAGTGTTTAACAAAGGACCCTATGGACAATACATACAAATGTCTTCTTTTAGAGAACCACTGAATGGATTGAAACCAAACATGGCATGAATGTTCCTTATGAGGTGTTGACTAAGTGTTGTTACTTTGAAGCTGATCCTTCTTCCACGATGACCACCAGCGGGGGGACTTCCTTTAACATAAGACCCTATTGGAAATACATACAAATGCTTCTTCTAGAGGTGCACTGAATGGAATGAAACCAAACATGGCATGAATGTTCCTTATGAGGTGCTGACTAAGTGTTGTTACTTTGAAGCTGATCCTTCTTCCAGGATGGCCGCCAGCAGGGGGACTTCTTTAACATAAGATTCTATTGGAAATACATACAAATGCTTCTTCTAGAGGTGCACTGAATGGAATGAAACCAAACATGGCATAAATGTTTCTTATGAGGTGCTGATGAAGTGTTGCTACTTTGTTGCTGATTCACTGTTCAAGATGGCCACCAGGATTTTTTTTATTAAATTACAGGGCCAATATTAAACCAAATTTGGCCTTACTCATTATAAGGGTATCTGTTATGATTTTAATCTATTTTAACATGATTTCCAAAACCAAAGTAGAATCAGGTGAGTGACACAGGCTCTTGAGAGCCTTGAGTTATTATTTTTTTTTTTGAAAAAAAAGGGGGGGGCAGGTCAATTCGCAACAGCATAGTATATTGCACAAACGCAAAAAATTGAATATAAATTCAAATCATATAACCAATTCTAAGTTCTTTGACTACAGTTATTCTGTATCAGAAACCTATTATATGTCAAATATTGAATTAAAATCCAAATTCATCCTGTATCAAGCGCGAATATTGTGTCCATTTTTACCCCAACTGTTCAGGATTGGACCTCTGCGGTCGTATCCAGCTGCGCTCGGCGAAGCAATTTATTTTAGATGTTAGAATGTGTGATTAACAAGTTAGATAATAATGTTTATCCTGAAATGGCAGTTTTACAGTTTCAGCTGCTGCATTTGCTCTACTATAGTTGAATTTCAGGACCCAGTTGTTCATCTCTTGGTTAAATATAACCCTTGGTTAATTTAACACGTTATATCTTTTAACAGAGGAACCAAGGGTTAAAATTCTGTTGTTCAACTTCTTTTTAACCCTTGGTTAAGTAACTCATGGTTAAATTTTCAATGCTTGTTTATTTTTTATCAAAATAAAGAATTATCAGCACTTTGCTTGGGTCCTAGAAAAACTGTTTGGTCAATAAATATGACTACTTGCAAAAAAGATACACTTTTCAGAGTCTAAATTCATTAAATAGTACATCAACAATGCGTACCAGAAGGAGAGCACCTTTTGTTTGAAAAGAAGTGTTGATCCTTGAATGGTACTTCATTATAGAAAACTAAATTATAGTTAAATATTGCTGCATGAATTTGTTTATTGACATACAATATAACTGGATAAAAAGATGTTGATTTGATTGTTACTATTAGATTCAAATATGAGAGTAAACCTCGATGCAAAAAGGGGGAAGGACTGTAAAACTAAATAATCAGTTTTTAGATTCTAATGGCCAATGAAAACGAAGAAAATGTTTAACCAAACTTTTAGTGACCTTTCCAATCGTGCAATAACAATGCTCCTTGGTTAAATTTATAACAGAGGTCTGAAGCAAGGTAAAAACTGAATCATTTAACAAAAGATTAACAAAGGGCTAAATTTAACCACTGGATGAACAACAGAAAGTAACTTAGGGTTAAATTTTAAACAAAGGTTATGATATTTAACCCTTGGTTAAAATTTAACCAAGAGATGAACAACCAGGTCCTGATGTTAGAGGTTTGTTGATCATTATTTTATTCTTATTAGCTATGGTACTTGCTCTATAAAATAAAACAACTGTCTTTTATTAAGATTGGACATGAGCTTCCACAAATCCACATGTATTTTTTTTTATTTGTGGTTTTTTTCTCTCTTGCTTTTGATATTGTTATAAATCTTTGGTTTGCCATCAAATGGAGGCAGCTGCCTCCACATAATTTACGGCCCTGTATTGGTTTTCTCATTTGAATTGTTTCACATTTAGTATTTATGTTGTCGCGTTTTAAGGATGACTATATGGTATGGGTTACTCATTGTTGAAGGCCTTATGGTGACCTTTAGTTGCTTACATAAGCTTCATTTATTGATTAGTTGTCACATTGGCAATCTTACCATATCTCCTTATTTTATTTAAGTAATTTTGGACAATATGGAAGTTGAAGTGAATTAATCATGTATGCTGCATGGAGCTTATAGGTTTTCTAGTTTACTAATAATTGCTACATGTAAAGTTTTTATTTATTTTTATAAGATACTGAAACATTTACAACCAGAGAGACCAGATTGCCGTGAAAGATTAGAAAAGATAGAGCAACAGCTGAAGTGGAACAACTTCCCTGGTGTTCAGACGTTACTGTTAAAGGTTTGTGGATGTTTTTTTATCTAGATATCTTTTTATGCCTCCAATGAATGTGCTTGTGCTGTTTTGTTTGTATGTTTGTAATTCTTTATACACTTTGTTTTCATAACTTCTCTTCAACTAGTGGCTGAATTTCGATGCATCTTTCAAAGAATCTTAAGTATATATATATGATAAGTTCAACAGCTAATTTTTTATTGTCTCGCCTTGACGGAGTCAAAAAGCGAGACATAGGTATGCTGTTTCCGGTGGTGGCGGCGTCAACAATGTATTAGTTTGTGATTACGTCTAGTTCATGGTGAACCACTAGTGGTAGGTCAATGATATTTGGTATGCAGTTGTATTAGCATTGGCACATCTCATTACCATGGAGATTATTTGGCCCCGCCCCCTCAGTCAAGGTCTATTGACTTTGAAACTTTGCTTCATTTACATGTACCGTATAGCATGTATTTTTTTTGCGGGGTGTTTATTTTCGCTTATTTTGGCGGATGAAGGAAAATCGCGAAAATAAATTCCGCGAAAATTTATGCATACATTTGGTATTTTCTAATAGCTAAAGCGTTTTGTAAACAATCTATGTTTTCCGGTCGACGGGTCAATAACTGTTAATGATAGTTTAAACAACACAAATGCCATAGGGCATTATTCACATATAATTTATGAAATCGCTGTCAAGTGTTAATTAGTTAATTAGTGTTAAATAATATAAGAGTGTAAGGTACTCTGTCAAGTATTTACCCTTTTTAATTAGTGTCAAATTATATAAGCTTTGCAAGTTACTATTAATAACTTTATAACCTAATTAGAACATCAAAGGTCAATTTCATAACTAATCAACCGTAACATTTACAAGAAGTTTGTACACCTGTGACAAATATCTAAGTACCGGTATTCTATTGATTAACTGTATCAAAATATAATCAATAAATGAGACGTCGTGCAGGTAAAACAATCATTTAACCATAACAATAGACACGTGTTTGTCAATTTTTACAACTTTTTAACTGCAACCATTTCAGATTCCGCCAAAATATTTAATTGGGATTTAAGATTCCGCCAAAATGAAAACTGCCAAATTTTTTCGTATACTTTGTTGCCCCTAAATCGCGAAATTTTACACCCGCTAAAATAACCCGCTATACAGTATTAGTTTGTGATTAGGTCAGTTTATGGGGAACCACTAGTGGTAGGTCAATGATATTTGGTATGCAGTTGTATAAGCATTGGCACATCTCATTTCCATGGAGATTATTTGGCCCCGCCCCCTCATTCATGGTCTATTGACTTTGAAACTTTTGCTTTGTTTTCATGTATTAGTTTGTGATTAGGTCAGTTCAAGGAAAACCGTTAGTGGTAGGTCAATGATAATTTGTATGCAGTTGTATAAGCATTAGCACATCTCATTTCCATGGAGAATATTTGGTCCTGCCCCCTCAGTCATGGTCTATTGACTTTGAAACTTTTGCTTAGTTTACATGTATTAGTTTGTGATTAGATCAGTTTAAGATGAACCGCTAATGTTAAGTCAATGATATTTGGTATGCAAATGTATTGGCAATTGCAAGTCTCGTTTCCATGGATTATATAACCCCACCCCCTCATCATGGTTCATTGATTTTGAAACTTTTACATAGTTTACAAGTCAATGTTTGTGTTTAGGTTTGTTGAAAGGGAACAACTTATGATAAGTCTATGGTATTTGGTATGCAGTTGTATTAGCACTGGCACATCTCATTTCCATGAAGATTGTTTTGCCATGTACCTTCAGTCATGGTTCATTGACTTTGAATATTTGCATAACTTACATGTTAAAGTATTGCTATTTTAATTTCAACATTTGCATTATCAAAAGTACAAATAGGCGAGACATATCTCTGTGTTAACAGTTTATTGAAATGTTTTTAGGGATTTCATGGAAATTGCCATATCTGCAAAATAAATTGGGCATCATTTGTACCCAAGGAGTATTTGTTCATACCCAAGGAGTATTCTGGATCATATGTGCATATTCATACAAAATGATTGTATTGTCCAGAATTAAATTAGAATAAAATATAAGGTAATGTGATATGATTGCTGATGAATAGGAGTATCACTTTATTGCAGTCCTAAAGTTAGCCATCTGGTACAAAAAACATAAATATTGATAATTGTTCATCCTATTTCTTGGTCTGCATGGGGGTCACCTGCTAATCTGACAACCTGTTGGATCTACAACCCATTAGTTTGACACCCCATTGGTCCAACACCCTGATAGTCTGACACTCCATCAGTCTGATATCTAAATATTTAAAAAAAAAAAAGAAGTAGTTTTTGTTATATTTTTTATATTTGTATATTTTTTAAAATTTTTATTTGATTTTTTTGACTACATGTACATCTTGAACAGCTTTATATCTTATCATGTTAATGATATTACATTGAACTACTTGACTGTAAATTAACTATGTGTAAATATCTGTTTTTGATTGTACAAAAAAAACAATGTATTGTAATTTGTATGTGAGGGCCTCAGGGAAGATTAGTTTATTGTAACTAACTGAGTTTACCCTCTTTAAATAAAGAATTTATTATTATTATTATAATTATTATTACTCGTGGGAACAGTTGTTGCATGTATTTAAGATAGGTTGGTGTATAAGTGCTAAAGTCGCAATTGAAAAATTTACTTCATAGAGGCGATGGACATGATATTTGAACTAGTGATTACACTCTCTTTTGAGTTTAAAGAAATGGAAAAGACAGCACTTCCCACCTGGTATGCAAGATATGTTATGATCCTATATATATTAGGTAATCGACAACGTTAACTAATTCAAATTGTGACGTACAAACAACGGTACATTGCCTGCTCATCTGCATGTTCTACAAAGGAATTGTCCATTAGATTGACAAAAATTCTTTCCGCAGTGAAAGAGGGTCTTCAGAAATACTGAGAAACTTTTACTCGTGTAGTGGTATTAACCATATGTGGATTCTAAAAAATCTCTAAAGAACTTCTGGATAATTTTAAATCTCAATCTTTCTCTGCAATTAATTCTATCAAAACTTTTGATTTTTCAACCCTGTATACCACCATTCCCCATGTGAAATTGAAAAATTGTCTAAAAGGAATAATCCACTTTTGAATATAAAAATGGTAGCATACGCTATAAATTTATTACTTTGGGATACCATACGGCATATTTTGTTAATAGTGAACAAAAAGGTAAAACATGCTACACAGAGGAACATGCAAGTGATCAGTATGCTGGAGTTTCTTATTGACAAAATATTTGTTGAATTTGGAGGAAGACTTTTTCAACAAATTGTCGGCATTCCTATGGGAATGAACTGTGCGCCTCCTCTTGCCGACCTTTCATTTGAGTTCAGACACTTGTCAAAAACAAGAAGATCAAAGAAGCCAGATCATTTAAATTCACATTCAGATATATTGTTGATGTTCTTTCCATTAACAATCCAAACTTTTCTGATTGTGTTTCTTTAATATATCCTCCAGAACTAGAAATTAAAGAAACAACAGACATGGCTTCCTCCGCCTCATTTTTAGACTTACACCTCGAATTTGACATAAGTGGTCATCTCAGTACCAGAATCTATGACAAACCAGACGATTTTAATTTTGAAATTATCAATTTCCCCCAGCTTAGTAGCAATATACTAACTTCAATTGCATATGGGATATACATTTCCCAACTCATTCGGTATTCAAGAGCTTGCAGCTGCTACACAGATTTTATAAAACGTCACCAGTGTCTGAGCAGAAAGTTGATGAACCAGGGTTATGTCAAAGAACGTTCTGAAAAAGTTCATCAGAAGATAACAAGACCTTGTTGATAAATATTCCATATCAACTTCACAAATAATACATGATGGTCTTGAAGTATAGATTCTAGGTACTGACATTGTTTATCATCCTAATTATGTGTTATAATGTTCTTTTATTTGTCTTTGTAAATTATTAACCTTTACTGTTTAGTCCTTTTTTGGTAATATCCTTTTGGCGTGGCTCTGTACTTATACATCCCGTTATTGTGTAATTGTGCTATGGTCATTTTTTGTATACTTGTCTTTCATTTTTGCTTATGTGCTTTGTCTATATGCCATTTTGTTTTTCTTTGTTGACATATTTGTTTGTTTTTATAGTGATTAAGATTATAACACAATGTTTACTGCTGTACCTGTAATTTTGACATTTTCACCTATTATGTCTGTTTGTTTTGTTCACACATTGTTGTCAATATAAAGGAATTTTATGCGACTGTCATACAAGTGAGAGGTTTAGCTAGCTATAAAACCAGGTTTAATCCAGCATTTTCTACATAAGGAAATGCCTGTACCAAGTCTGGAATATGACAGTTGTTTTCCATTCGTTTGATGTGTTTGAGCTTTTGATTTTGCCATTTGATAAGGGACTTTCCGTTTTGAATTTTCCTTGGAGTTCGATATTTTTGTTATTTTACTTTTTACAAAAAAAAACACTCCACAAAAAAAGGGAATTTGAATAGCAGTCTTTCATTGTAAAAGAAAATGTCTAGATCACAATAATAGAAAAGAAAGGAAAGGATATGGGGTATCAATCCATGACACAAAATCAGTATATGCACAGCAAAAAGCACAAAAAGCAAGGGAACAGCACTTTTATTGCTGTTCTTCATCTCGAAGTCACAGTTAAGGCTTCAACACGGCCTCTAGTACTGGTTTGAGCAGAATTCTTTGCAAACTGAAAATCATGCCACAACTGTGAATTGAAGAACAAAGTAATAGAGTAATATTAACTGACAATCACACTGAAGTGTGCCAAAAAAAACCCCATTTAGACAACCATGGGGCACATCCAGATATATGTTAGATATCTAGGCAGGAAATAACGTATGTATAGGGCAAATAATTTGGCAAGACTATGTAAGATGTGATACCACCAACTCGGGCCCAGTTAAAAAGAACATACTGGAAAGTAGTACATATTTAATTAAATATCAAACTATGTAGAATATGTT